CTAGGGCTGTTCTTGAGCCGCCAAAAACTAGCTCTTTTATTTATATTTTTGTATTTAAGAAGGAGAAGGACATGTTGAACATTTACTAAATTAAATGGTTTATAAAATATGTATAATAAAGTCAAGTGTTTATTTTTAATTGTTAATTTTTTGTTAATTGTTTAATTAAAAAAATATTTTTTTTAATTACTATTAAATCTAATAAAAAAATTTCCAAAATAACGTTTTTTTTATCAGTGGCATGGTAAACCCATGAGGATGGGTGACACATTTATGGCGCCAATCCAATATTGATAAATACGTTTTTTACAAAAATATAAATAAAAGAAGTAGTTTTTGCAGGGGCGGCTCAAGCACAGTCCTAGGCACACCACTGATTTTTATATGCGTTTTTTGTACAATAACTCCTAACCTACTCTTAATTTGGTTGATATGTTTTAAGTCCAGGACGGACAAATTGCTCTAGAAATTCAGTTAAAAAATTGTAAATAGCTCGTTAACTAAGAAAGATACAAAGTTCATTTCGCTAGTTATTTTTGATTTTAAGATCGATAAAGCAAGTTTCTTTATGTCAAAAAAAATACGGGGGGTTAAAAGCAGTGTTGCCAGTCTAGTACAATTGTACTAGATCTAGTACATTCTCTGAGAATCTGGTACTCTAGTACACTCGAAACAAAATCTAGTACTTTTTTCAGCGTATGTTTCCAAATTAAAATAGTTGTTAAAAATTATTTCGAGATAAAATAGTAGACATTTCTCGAGAGATAAAACATTGTTTAAAAAATTGCACGAGAGATCAAATATTTTTTAAAAATGGCTCGAGGGATAAAATACTATTGAAAAATTTGTTAAAATAAAAAATATTGTTCAAAATTGACTCAAGAGATACCTACTATTAGAAATTTCTCGAGAGATAAAACATTGTTTAAAAATTCCTCGAACGATAAAATACTATTAGAAAATGCTCGAAAGATAAAATATTGTACAAACATTGCTTGAGATATAAAACATTGATAAACATTTATCGAGAGTTAAAATATTGAGGAGTTTGCTAAAGAGATAAAAAAGTTGTTAAAAATTGCTCGAGAGATAAAATAATATTAGAAATTTATCAAAAGATAAAATATTGTTTAAATATAGCTCATGAGATAAAAAAGGTTTAAAAACTGTTCGAGAGATAAAATAGACTCATAAGTTATTAAAATCTTATTCAAAAATTACTCGAGGATTAAAAATACTGTTAAACATTTCTCGAGAGATAAAATATTGTTTAAAAATTGTTAGAAAGGTAAAAAATGTTAATAAAAATTGCTCGAGAGATAAAATAGTTTAAGAAATTATTAAAATTTTGCTCAAAAATTGCACGAGAGATATACTATTTTTCAAAAATAGCTTGAAAGGTAAAAAAGCTGTTAAAAATTGCTTGAGTGATTAAATAGTGTTAAAAATTGTACAAAAAATTTTGCACAAACATTTCTCGAGGGATAAAAAAGTTGTTAACATTTGCTCGAGAGATAGAATACTTTTAGAAATTTGTTTTAAATTGTTTAAAAAACTGTTCGAGAGATAAAATATTATCAAAAGGTGTTAAAACCTTTTTCAAAAATTTTGCTCAAAAATTACACGAGCTTGGAAGGTAAAAAAAGGCTGTTAAAAATTGCTCGAGTGATTAAATAGTGTTCAAATTGTACAAACATTGCTCGAGGGATAAAAAAAAGTTGTTAAAAATTGCTTGGGAGATTCAATACTGTTGGAAATTTATCGAGAGGTAAAATATTTTTCTAAAATAGCTTGAAAGATAACGAAACTATTAAAAATTGCTTGAGTACCTAAATAATGTTAAAAATTTTACAAAAAATGTTGTACAAACATTGCTCGGAGAATAAAAGAAGTTGTTAAAAATTGCTCGAGAGATAGAATACTGTTAGAAATTTATCGAGAGATAAAATATTGTTTCAAAATAGCTTAAGAGATTAAAAAAGATTTGAAAACTGTTCGAGAGATAAAAGAGTATCAAAATGTATTAAAATATCTTATTCAAAAACTGCTTGAGAGATAAAATAGTGTCAGAAATTTGTCGAGAGATAATATATTGTTTAAAATTGTCGTGTTCGTGTTCTCTATAAACCTTTTTTTGCTCTTTAATGACCATACTTCATATTTAGAAAAATTTGGTAATTTTATAGAATCTAGTACATTTTTATGAAATCTGGTACATTTTTTAGATAAATCTGGTACATTACAAAAATATATTCTGGCAACACTGGTTAAAAGGTACCCAACCCCCCAACTTTTTTTAAAGGGGTCGCTATATTTTTTTTTTTCTTAGAATATTGGGCCTTCAAAACTACAGCACTGGCAAAAATTTCAAAGCAAAACTCGCAACAGCAAACTTTTTACAAAAAAAAAATCGTTTTTCTGAATGTTAGTTTAACGCCCTATAATTTTGTTAGGAGCTAGTTTTTGATATAGGTAAATAAATATAGCCAAATCCACTTATTTTTTGGTAATCTATCTGAGGAAGAATTTATGACATACCCTGTATATTTTGTGTTATTGACAGATTGAATATCTATTAAATGTTTCTGAGTTATTTTAATTTACAGAATTGTATAGGGTGGTTAGTTATTATAATTTAATGTTAAACAATTGTAATGAAAAAATTGATAATTTTTGTAAATCTGCCTCGACAGTTTCTTTTACTAACTCCCAATTACTTGATTTGTAGAAAACTGCCGCATCGTCGACAAAACTGACCATTTCACCTGCAACGTGTAGTTCAAATAAGTTATTTAAATATATGTTAAGTAGTAGTGGACCGAGTACTGTTCCTTGTGGAACACCACACGTCATAATTTTAGGATCATTTACGGCACCGTTAATATTGACTAATTGTAGACCCTGAAACCAATGTTTTCTATTGTTTCTAATAGCTGTTGAAGGTTTCGCGAATGTTTTTGCGAGATCGGAAAAGATACAAAGTGAAGGTTGGTTTTTGTTTATTATTTTTTGTCAATATCGCATTAGCATCCGCAGTTAGTGTATTTTCCCGAAACCCATTTGTTTGATATGATTTCATATTTATTTAGGAACAATTTAACATTTTCGTTTTCATTCTTTTTTTTTAATTTGTTCCTGCATTGGAAATTATTGTGATCGGTCGGTATTTACTTCGAGCTTGTCTCCATTTTGTATGAATGAGAATTATCAGATTCTTTTAGAATTGTCCCATTATTATCTCAATTATTAGGTACACAAAACCAAAATTTGAAACGCTCGAAAAAATCGCAAAATTTATTTTAACAAAAAAAAATGCGACATTAAAACACAGCATTTCGTTCAATTTTCGATAAATATAGTCTTTTATCTGACAATTATCCCCGCAAGGTCGACAAATAAAAAACGGTTTCCCTAAATAACATTTTTTTTTTTTAACATTTAGTTAATAATGAATGAAAATAATGTACACAGGTATGTGGACATTTATGTTTTATTGTATTATAATATGTATAGGTATTATTTTAAAACTATTTAATATACGAGGATGGGATGAATTATTCCCAGCCTGACTTGTAGTGGGCTAGGATTTTAATCATTTATTGTTTTATTTAATGTCACACATAATTAGTTTTTTTGTGAAATATCGAAAGTTTGTGTCCAGTGGTTTGTATTTGATAGTCCGCTATAATACTAATCAATTTCTAAAACCCCAACCGTGAAATGAACTTAAAGAAAAAAGAGTGTAGTTCGACGATAAAGTATTGTTGAAACGTGTTATACTCGGACTTAAAATTGAAGTATCTCGGCGATTTTGCATATTGTTCCTTTTTGAAATAATCATACTAGTCTAATATCAATCATGAAAAGAGTTATTCAGAATATTATAAATCGATCTTTCAACGTAGCTGTGACCAAACAATAAACAACAAAATTACATATTATGAGTTAACTCTAGTTAACAGTATTGCTGCTTTTTCTGAATACTTTATTTTTAATCAATATGATAAAATTATAAAAAAATTCAACAATGTTTTCAAAATATGCTGGAACTACTATTTATGACTAGATCTTTTGTATGAATCTTAACCAAAAAACAATGTGTGATCTCTAAATTTTATAGATTGATGATTCGAAATCATGTGTATGTATCTCATGTCATGTAACATTCACAAACAGCTAAAAAAATCTTTGACACCCCTAGGGACAACGACTAGTTCTCTAATATAAATTCTTCTGTAATCACAACTTATTCATCCCTGAAAATAATTTGCAACAATATGTCTTCCTAATTAATCAATGTTGAACATCTAAAAATGTATCGTTCTTTCTCTACTGCTGCGTACAACAAAACTATGAGTAGAATATTCAGATATCTTCCAAATAAGTTATGGATTTACCTTGTTGTAAGATCAATCTTGACTCGTTACTAAATCATAAAACTGTCTGTCATCATTATACAGCCAACCAAACAATCTTTCAATTTCCTGCAGTTTTAGTTATTCTGAGTTTCTTACCTGTTTCTTTGCTGTTTTTCATTTCTCCAATCTACTGCCTAATTCTCTCAATCTCTTACCCCAGTCTTCATCTGCTTCCAATTCTAACAATTTTCTACTGAATTCGTTGATCTTCTTTTGATTTTCTTTGCCCACTCTTTAATATTAGATTGTTTTTTATAATTACTCTTCAAAATAAGGTTTTATGATTTGACTATTAGATTTTACAGATATATGCGTTTAAAAATGGAAATATTCACTGTAAATGAATTAAAGTATGCAAGGCTGGCCTGTATAATTTTAGTGTTAATTTATTTTGTTTGGATCAAAAAACTGTTAAGAAATGTATTATGGATTCGTTTTTTTTAACTGTTTTTAACTGTACTACAATATTTATCTAAGCATTTTCTTTTCCCAGAGTTTTTAATATGTTATAATCCTCAAATCTTTATCATTACTGTCATTATTTTTTTATCTATAACATCCTGAGAATTTTTTTTGTTTCAGAGAAGAAAACTATGGATCAGAAGCCATGAGCAGTATCAACCATGTTCAACAAACGAATCCAAACCCAAATCCAAAGAATCCCCCTATAGCCCCATCGGAAAGCCCCAGCCCCTCGAGTGCCTTAGAACCTGGTTCCACACTAGGCATGGAAATAACTTTAGTTAATTCACCACAAGACAATAGTGAAAATGACAATGGACGACTGCCGGATGTTGTTGTCGAAACAAAAATATTCGAAGAGGAAGAACAAATTCATGAAACTTATTTCTCTATAGCTATACAGGTTTTTATTCCATTTCTGATTGCTGGTTTCGGCATGGTCTTTGCAGGATTAGCTTTAGATAAAATTCAGGTTAGTTTAATTTTACATTTTTGTCGGTTCGAAGATGGCGCAAGGTCTCTATGATTTACGTCAAATGATGTCTTGAAAAGCAGTCAGAGGAGTTTTAAGTAGACACAATTTCCTGTTAGATCATTGGTGGCTGAAGAACGATGAAGACAGCAAATGTTATTATACCATCTGGTATAAACATCCTTTATGCATCCTCCAAACGCAAGGATATTTTGCTCACAGCTATCGGTCCATTGTGAAAAATCCCTCCCCTTCTAACTTTTTAACTTGCTATAATATGTCATTGGTTTTGCTCCGTACATAGTAAACATTTTCCGTGATTGATGAATATTTTCATTTTTAGCACTGGCCAGTTTTTGAAGAAATAACAGAACTAGTAATATTGATTCCCGCTCTTTTAGGATTAAAAGGTAACCTAGAGATGACATTAGCATCACGATTATCAACACAAGCTAACTTAGGTCATATGGATACGATTAAACAAAAATTAAACATTATCGTGGGAAATTTAACATTAATACAGGTAAGCAATATTTATGTTTTATACAATAATAACGAGTAATTCATAAAATATTATTCAATGATTTTTATAACCAATATTTCATTCTTCATTAATAGTTCCGCAATTTATTTATTCTAATTAAAAAATATAAAGCAAAATTGTGAAATAATCTAATGGGTGTTAAATTAAAAAAAAATTATCTGCCACTCTCAGTCTACTAAGGTGTCCTTTGAGTCGGCAATGCCGAATAAGGATCCCGTTACAATGCGTGGCCTATTCTTTATCAGGCGAATACAGATTTTCGATCTTTTCTGGTCATAATCACCCAGAAGTATCTTAACCTGTCTTAGCACCAAAAAATTGTTTCAATTATCGCTTCTTCTATTGTCCAATTTTTTTTAAATCTCTCCTCCTTATATTGTGTTACTGTTGATACCGCAGAACGCTTCAGGTCCCAAAAAGGGTGTTGCAAGACTCTCTGCAATTTCGTTGCCCTTTACCCCGTTACGTCCCGCGATTCAAGTGAGCGTAACTGTATTTTCCTCGCCTAGATCATTCAGTTTTTGTAGATATCTACAGACCATTTTTGAGCTGATTACGTAAAAGCTCAAAGCTTTGATGGCTGCTTGGCTATCGGACATGATGATAATCTCTTGTTTTGCGATAGTTTCTCTCGATGTTGAACTGGATACTGGATACACTTCTCAATGGCGTGAATTTCCGTCTCTAAGATGCATGGATATATACCCAAACTTTCAGAGTGCATGGTTGCAGGCCCATACACTCCTATTCCAGTTCCTCCTATGGTTTTGGAACTATCCGTGTACTACTTAATTCCATTCCTTTCTGTTGCAAGCTCGATAGATTATTGACTCCATTCTTTGTTGCAGCCCAGCTCTGGGGTTTTGAAGTTTTTCACAAAACTGCATTTCTTCCTCATTTCGTCCTGGGGCATATTCATAGTTTCTTCTTTATGGAACTAATAGACTAGAGGTATTTGAAGATTTGAGAACGAGCCTGGCCCGAATTAGCTCATCAAATTTCTGTCTAGTGGAAAGAGCATTTGTTTAGAGAACAAAGATGTCTGGGTTCGAATCCCGCGGACGACAAGCTTTTTTCATATCTCCAAGTATGTTGTTTTCACCCTTGTGGTTCGGGGATGATCTTAATATTTCCACAACTTATTTCAAATATTTATGACTTTTTGGATTTTGATTTGCGATCTACGACATATTAAATTCACAATTTTAATAGACTTTCTTCTGATTACTCCGTTCCTGATCATTATGTATATTTTTCTTTTTGCCACGTTCTCTACAATTAAATGTAGAGGGGTTAGCTTTAAGATCACCTCCAATGCGGTCGTAGAGGACAGGTTCTCATTGCATAGGCTAGTTCTTTGACTTTTGAGATATTAGCTCTCGTAATAGCTAAACTAGTTCTGTTACTCCAGGCTACGGCCACGTAGTGATTAGTGATAATTGGTCTCACTATTTCTGTATACATCCATTGCAGTGAGTTCGGGTTACATCCCCATCTTTTTCCTGCAATGTTCCTGCATATAATTTGGGCTTTTTGGCATTATTTACTAATTCCTTCTCATGTATGTTCCTGAGAAGTTTGCTGTCCAGGATTAGGCCAAGATATTTGACTTCTTTTTTTATTATATATCTATCCCGTCTAATTTGACAGTTTTGAAATTCCAGTTTTCAGCTACTTGAAAAAGGTACTAGTATTGTTTTGGTAGGGTTTATACTAAGTCACACCTTCCGGTACCATCTTTTGTTGTGTTCTAGTCCCCTTTGGACTATATCACATAGGATATTTATAAACTTGCCCCTTGCAAATATGATGTCCTCGGCATAACCTTGACAGGGTATGTCGAGGTCAGGTAATATGCGTCTACGGTTAGGCACATTAGTGGGGATAGACCTCCTCCAGGGGGCCATGCTCCTCACCCCGAGATTAAAATTTGTACATAATACATGCGTCTTTTATTTAGGTTGACCATATGCACAGCATTTCGTGAGGGATCTCTGCCCTCCCCCCCCCCCCCCGAGATTAAAACTGTTACAGTGTTACAATACATGAGCCTCCTATTAGCCTGTGCAATACGCTACTATTGCCAAGCAAAAGTAATAAGACTTGGGGCCTGCTCAAAGAAGGGTCGAGAACAAATTTTAAAAAAAGTTCGTCACTGTTTGAGAAGCTTTAAATAAAAAAAACTTCGTGTTTAGCATTAAAAAAAATATACTCACCCCGCATTTTTAATTAGCATGACACCCCCTCCGAATATCAGCCTGGAGCCGTCCTTGTTGTGGACCTCCTCTGACTGTGCCGATGGAGATCCTGTCTTGCCTTATCTGTCTGTGTCTCTGCAGTTCTCGTAGATGCCATTCATCTGGATGTAGTGCTCCTTCTACGTCTAAGAAGGCACACACGATCGTTTATTTGTTTGTAAATGCTTCCTGCATTTCGTCAGTCAGCTGTACCAGGACAGTTTCCGTCGATCTTTCTGCTCGGTACGCGTGTTGGCTGTGGTAGGGAGGTACCCTCTCTAGGATTTCTGTTCTGATATAATTATCAACAGCCTTCTCCATTGTTTTTAATATAAAGGATGTGAAGTTGATTGATCAGAACGATTTAGGATATGTGCTATCATTTTCCCCAACTTTTGAAATAAAGGTAAATCTGGCCTTTCTTCATGATATTGGTATATATCCAAGTTTCAGACTGCTCCGGGATATCCGGATTATATATTAGACATACAATGGATATCAAGTAGGGCACTGCGCACCTGGGAAACATGGTTGCCAAAGAGCTTTAAGCCATAACCCTGGTCGGAAGTATAGCTACCAGTACCCAATAGTTTTAATAAATGCAGTAAGTTATCTAAGGGTCGATTCCACCGTTGTATTAAACGGAGATTAAAATGATATTGTTAATGTAAAAATGTCATTTTAAACTTCGTTGTTTAACACAACGGTGGAATCGGTCCTAAGTAATAAATGACGTATTGTGCAACTACTGAATTTTTATTTGGGACCCAGGCAACATCTTCTAAAAGCGTCAGGTTTTTATTTCCTATAGTTGACGTATAAGAAACCATAAAATGGTTGGATAATTGTATAAATTTCACCTCCGGCTCTATACTCTGTGGACACCCGGCTTGAATATGGACAGAGTCAAAGGATTTATTAAAGAAAAGTGAAATAATTCTTATTCAAAAAATGATCAATTATTTTGTTTACATTTTTTTTAGTGCCAGGCCATTGTGGTAGGATTCCTGGGAGCTCTAGTAGCTGTAGTGATGGGAGGCATAAAGAGCAACGACGTTGAATTGGACCACGCTTATCTATTGTGTGCTAGTAGCCTAGTAACTGTTTCAATAGCTAGTTTCGTATTGGGATTAATAACAGCTGGTGTCATAGTATTATCAAGATACTGCCATATTAACCCCGACAACGTTGCAACTCCTATAGCTGCTAGTTTAGGAGACATAACCTCACTCACCCTACTGTCTTGGGTCGCAACATTATTGTACGACTCCATAGGTAAACAAAATAGCTAACCATTTATTAATTTGTTATATATTATTAATAAAAGAAGTGATTATTTCATTTATTTCTGTATTTTTGCAGGTACCCAAGATTGGTTAGCACCAGTCATAATAGCAGGATATATCCTCGCTATTCCACTCTGGGTTTGGATAGCCAAAAGAAACTTACAAACCCGGGACGTCTTATATCACGGCTGGACTCCAGTAATGGGTGCCATGCTAATAAGTTCTATGGGAGGATTAATCCTAGATTTCATGGTATCTAGGTTCGAAGGCATAGCCGTCTTTCAGCCTGTCATAAACGGAGTAGGAGGGAACTTGGTTGCAGTACAAGCTAGCAGAATATCAACAGCGTTACACAAACAAGCTGAGCTTGGAATTCTATCAGCTGAAAATGGTACCGACGAGGATACTGTAATATTCATTTCTCCAGTTACTTGTTTTTGCGGTAAAGGCATGCATAATAGAACTTCTAGGGTACTAATGTCGATGGTCATACCAGGTCATCTAATCTTCATATACACAATAGATTACATTAAAAATGGAGATCCTTCACTAAATTCTTGGTTTGTTGTAGTATATCTATGTGCAGCCTTCATGCAAGTTGCTACACTGCTCTATGTGGCGTACATAATGATACATTGGATGTGGAAGAAAAAAATTGACCCAGACAACTCAGCTATTCCATATTTGACATCTATTGGAGATCTTTTAGGGATATCATTATTAGCCATCGCTTTTCAGTTCTTGTACCTCATCTCAGATCATGATCCGGAAACACCAGCAACATGATTTTACTTTTTTGTTACTGTTAAAATATCGATTAATTTTTCTAATATAAGTACATCTGTTGTGATAAATATAAAGGATATTTGTCGTTATAGAAACAAAAGTTATGAATTTTAGATTAGAATCGAATTCAGAGAATAATATATAGATTATAGTACGATTGCAGAAAAAAATTGTTTCAAAAGTTAATGGCTGTATTTTTGTTAATACATTTTATTTTTAATCTAGTATTTTTAATACAACCAAACAATGTCCTTAAACCGATGGCTAAGAGAGGATAAATATTGTATGTCTAGTTTTAAATCGAGTTTACCCGAAATAACATTTTTGGACAAACAATATTTGTCCTCATAGCCATCGATATGGTCCTTCACATGTCCCAAAAATTTACAATAAATTTCGTAAGTTTTGATTTCATTCAAAATGTTAAAATAAATATTTTTAAATGGAAATTTCTGGGAATCAAAATTTGATTACTAAAAATAAAGAAAAATTTAAAAAAAGACCGTATCACTGAAACATGGACCGACCTTTTTCTTCCTAATTACTCCTTTGGACAAACCGGTTCAAGCAAGAATGACGTTCTCCTAAGTAAGAAACTAGAGTGTTGAAAGTAATTTATCTTTGCTTCTATTTGGATATAATTCAATGCCTGCTGTGGTATTCGCCATAGAAGTTGTTTTTCGGTGAAAATTATCGCTCGGCGTTTATGTGACACGGTTTTTTAGTTTCTCTCGTTTTCCTTTATTTTTGAATTGGTCACATTCGAGAAATGGAATTTGATTCCTTTGATAATTGCCAGTCTGGTTATTATTCCGCCTTGTTTTATGAACTGGGTATCACAGGAAACCTTGATTTTGTTTACTAATTGTTACACATATACAACTTCTATTGGAAATCGGAAGTGAGAATGTATTGATATAATCAAAGTGGTATCAAAAAAAAATTAACTCATCCTGTAAACTTGCCTAACAAAATTCACCTCAATCCAGGTTCCTTTTACATTTATCCAGAAATATCAATAATTTGGACAAACAAAGAAAATCTTACCTCCAACCTTTCTATAATGTGCTTAATGACGGATTTCCACTCACAATTTAATTTTGATACAAAAAAAAAATATATTCCCAGACAACACACCAAATCCCAGAGATATCTGCAGAATATCTTTTGTGGATATCCAATATATCCACAGGATATCAGAAATATTCCGTGGATCTAATATGGATATCCAAATGTCCGTCTATATCCAGGATATAGAAGATATTCGGATATTCAGCAAAATATTTTATGGGTATCTTTAGTAGAGGTTCATAAGTAACCAATGATTATTGAATAACGTCGAAAGAAAATAGCAGAGATAAAAAATATTTTCAACACTCAAAATATTTTCAACACTCTGCCTTTGATTTTATTATTAGGTATCGCCATCTATACTTAGTAAGCAGAATCAAATAACATCTAGTGGATATCCACGATGGTTTGCGTTAGCGCCTAGACTTTGATATATTTAGCGGATGTTCATGGAATATTGAATACACCTTAAAAAAATTAATTTTAAATATCTGAACGGTACTATTAGCCACAATGGCGTAATTTTTTAATAATTTGTTATATAATTACTATTATTTATGGACATTTGCATGTCTATAAATTATATTTCATGGATATCCAAAGGATTTGGTGTGCTGTCTGGGTTAATTTCACTACATTTGTTTTTAAAGATTTTCTTTTTGGCGCACTTCGCCATCCTTCTTAGCTATCTCTCACCTTGTCTTCTTTCTTCTACATCAATTTACTCTGCTTCTATATTTAAAACTGCTTCTAACCTTGCTCTGCTATCTGGTCTATTCTCTTTCAATGTTATAAAATAAATTTACCTTCCTAAACCCTTTCTTTTCCAAAAATCTAACTAACAATACCCTTCCAAATTTCAAAACAATCCCTTCTGACATTTCAATTTCAAAAACATCATGAGTGTCCCAAACAAATTTTAATTTCCAGACCATTAACCATCAATGTATTTTTTAATATTTTTTTTTATCAAAATTGTGATTAGCAATCCAGTGGTGTAGATAGGGAGATCAAGGGCATCAATGCTCTCTATGAGTCTTCGAAAATGTATTGTATTAAATAAAAAGGCTCTTCATCTATGTATACATGAAATTTTAGAAGTCATATCCCCCATCGCAAAAAGGTATCTACGCCACTGACCAATAGTTGGGTGGTGAATAAATTGAACATTATGAAAAAAATTAATCAAGAGGGTTAAAAAAAAAGTTGTTATGGGAATGTTTGATTACTATTGATTGAGAATTGTTAGAGAATTGTCAAGAGTGTTGTATTTTTTATCGAGTTGTAAATATTAATTTAATTTGTTGAAAATGTTTACGGAGAGAATATATATAAATATAACATTAGAAAGAATTTAAAATTAAAAGACGATCAGGCAGCAATGGACAGGAGTGCAGAAACCAGCAGTAAGCAGTACAGAGAAGGAAATAGGGCACAGAGAGAAGATATTTACAAACCGTGATTTTTGTTGTGTATATAACATAATAAATTAGCAAATATTTTAGAAAATTGAATCTACCTCATATTGACATTGTAATCGATTGAACATTTACTATAAACTTGAAAGGTAGTGAAATTTATTTTAGCAAAGCTGGGCGGTTTAAAATTTACAAAATCAATCCACCTTTCCCGTGATTCGATAATTTCGCATTATTCATGCTTGAAAAAAGCGCGATACTTTTGAATCTAGTAATTTTCCAAACTTATTTTCTGCCTTTCTCTTATCCTCTCGCCCTACCTACAACTGTTGGGATGGCTACGACGGTCATCGAGACTCATCACGGCCATATGCACCATTGTCCAGCTAAGTCCTCTGTTATCTAACAGTAGTATAAAAAATAACAGTGTGTTAACATAATTTGCTATGCACCATCTATGTACCATCTATTTACCAGTTTCAGTAAGAAATCAGTCTGTTACGTATATATTACTGTTCATATCCTATAAAACCTTATATAGCCCTTCAAAATAAACAAGTAAAATTAAAATAGTCTGATAAGTAAAATTAACAGGCCAAATTTGGTTTGTTACATTAACAACGCCTTTAACAGATTGTTAGTCGTATTTTGTAATGGTGAATACAAAATTGTCAATTTAACAGTCAGTTATGTAGTTAACTCTCTGATAACTATTAACAGAAGAATGGTGCATATGGCCGTCAGTACGTGTATTTTTTGCCACAACTCCATATAGTAGGGGAGCCAGCGACCCTTTTTTTGGTACATATTTGCACATGACTAAATTATAGGTAAATTTATCGTTTATTAATACCATGACGAAAATGGAAATACTTTGCTGCAGACGCACCATCAGCAGTGGAGCGTTCGACGTAGAAAATACTAATAAAAAAGCGCAAGCTCGAAACTTTCAGATATTTACATCAAAAGTTAATACATAAAAGTCTACTGCCATCTTGGTAAAGGTGGAAGACCTTCGAATTTGGAAAATAAAACTGTTATATGTTGTATTTATTTTTCTCTTTTTTTTTTCTACGATAAATATATATGTAATGAAAATCGTTTGGTGAAATCGTTGTGGCGGTGAAATGTCCTGGTAGCAAGCCGAATTTTAAGGTGGCAGCAAACTTTGTTCTGTTATCTTCTGATGAAAATAATATCTGAAAGTTTCAAGCTTGCGCTTTTATAACAGCATTTTCTACACAGGCTTTTTTCAAGACGTTGTCGTCGAGGGCTCCATCGCTGCAGGGACTGCAGCAAGGTATTTCCATGTTCTACAAGGTAAGAATAAACGAAATATTTGTAATTTTGCCATTCGCAAATAACACAGAAGTGATACTGGTTTCCCTACCAATAATAAAAGTTAAATACAAAACTCACTATCAAACGCAAAAACAAAATGAAATTTGCGAATGTATAATTGGATAGTAGGAAACATCAATTTTTTTATAAGGATAATTTTCTGATCGTAGTAGAAATTTATATAAATAAAAAGTTCACTAGTTTATTCGGACGTTATTATTGTTTTTATAAAATTTAAGTACTGGCACTACATATGTGTCGGAAACACTGTTCTATCTTCTGGTGCCAGTCAATATTTAATAAAACGATTACAAACATTTTAAAATAAAATTTAAAAAATGTTTGTAATCGTCCTCATATTTTATAAAAAATTTGCTGGCACCAGAAGATGGAACAGTGTTTTCTAAACATATGTAGTGCCTGTACTTAAATTTTATAATAACAATAAAAACGACCGAATAAACCAGTGAACTTTTTATTTACATAACAAATTTTGATGATTTTAAATAGAAATAGGATTTGCGCATGAGTAATACAGATCATCCATAATGGGACAGGTCTATTCACGAAGTATAAATACCAAGGAGTCCGAACGTAATGTTAGAGACAGAATTTTTGCCGGGCGCGCCACTTTTGAAGAAGTACTCGTTTCCTAAATTCTCATTTGCCTTTCGGTACGGCCTGAATATTTGCGCAACCAGTGGCAGAAAAAAGAACTAAGACCTGGGTTTAATATTTGTGTACATGAATCCTACAAAAAAGCCTATACCGTTAGGACTCCTTGGTATCTATACATCGTGGGTCTGTTGGAAAATAAATCAAGTGTGTAAAAAGAGGGACGTCATGAGGATTTTTGAAGGGTTTGTTTGTTGATTGTCGGCACAACTGTCAGTTGGAAATTTAATTTTGGAACGATCGAATGTTGGGTAAAGTTATAAGATAGAATGATTATTGTTTGCCATTGAATTGTATTTGAAAATATGAAATAAATAAAACAAGTTAAAAAAAGGTAAAGAAATTTTATTTGTAAAATGAGAAAGCGGAGAGTGAACAAAAATTGGTGAGCTGGGGAGCAACTGCAGAAGCAGACAAGTAGATCAAGAAAACACAAACAGACAGAGCAGGAGGGCAGTCGGAACAGAAGAATATGCCATTTTTTAAAATAAATTCTCTTATTAAATTGTTTTGTAAATTTAAATTGATTTTGCAGGTTTTGGGATTTTCGTTGATTGGAATTTCATATACTGGGTGATTTCATATTAATTACTTTGACAACATTTATTTGCACAAACTAATATTTTATCTAAAACTTAAACTTCGAAAGTTGGCGTATTTGTATGGACGTGTATCGTTTCTCAAACATTCGATACTTTCTAGATTTACTTAAATAAGAGCTTTCACCAAAATTGTTATTTTGAGATGTATCCACCAAAGTCTAGGTAACTATCCACAGTCATCCGTTGGGGGGTTTTGGAAGTTGATTTATTCGATCGAATATTCTTAGTTATCGGAAAAGTGGAGGCCGAAATAGACCTAAATAAGTGATTAGAGCGATGCCGGACTAGCTCAAAAATGGCTCGCACATTATTCTAAGGTATATAAACTTTAAAATTTACGAATAATTACACTTAAACTATCTTATTTATTTACTTATATATAACATTTTCAGGATGCAAAAAATACATAAAATATATAACTATTATCACATATAAAAACATTTTTATAAACACAATTATATAAATGGTTTGCAAATGGCAATTGAATGATCTATTCCACAAATAACTTGCTCAACATAACCACCAATTGCTACCTGGAAAATAAATCAAAAATGTATATTTAATAAAGTCATATGCAATAAAATTTTACTTTTAATGGGAAGAACTGGTCTTCAGGTCGACCTAATCCTAGACAACCATTTTTATTTCGTCCCCATATAAAGAGATCTCCATGATTTGTAATTGCAGCTGAATGGTAGAGACCACAAGTGATATCTATCACTGTAGAATCAGACTGGTAATCATTTTTACCAAATAGAGTATCTGGAATATGAATAGGCTTCCTGGATAGCTCCGCTACTGGACCTGTGCCTAATAATCCATATCCCCAGGAGAACACTTGTCCATTATCTAAAATAAGTTTATTTTTTACATTAAAAATAATTTAAATATCAACCACTGTTTCCCTACCATTTAGAACAAGGCAAAAAGCACCAGCAGTGGCTATACATTTAATTCTTCCTAAATTGCTGAGCATTTTTATATAGTGTGGGGAGGCAACTTGTTGGTCTCCTCCTGGTAAGGTCATCTGACCATATTCTGTATTTCCCCAACCAAAAACTTGACCTTTGTCTAGAAAAAAATAATTCAAGTAATCAAATAATAATAACATCATCAATGACTAAATAAAATTATTTTATTTACCATTTAGGGCTAGCACAAAATCAGATCTTGATGACAATTTTATTATCTTTTCATTCTGGATATCACCATTCACTTTTGTAAATTCACTACAATTGTTAAAATGTTCTAAACCTGTCTGACCATCTGCGCCCCAGCCACATGAGTATACACTACCATCCTCAGTGAGTATTAGACTGAAACATAAATATCTTGTTTTATAAACCTTGTTTTAACAGGATAAGTTATTATAGAGGCAGGTTGAACAATGAACAAGCTGGGAGAATACTGCTTATTCAGAAAATAGAAAAACATTAATTTAGTAAACTAGATTTAAATATTACTGACCATGCACTGCATCTTATTCTAAAATTATGTAAGAGTTGACTAAGCAGCTACCTAGGAGTAGGCCTACCATCACCTAAATTGCCGACACGGGACAAAAACCTGAAAAATCCTGTACATTTGGGTGAAATTCAAATTTTTATCCAGACATCTTTGAAATTTTTTTTTACAACAAAAATAAACATTTTCATTTGAAGTTTTTTTATTAATTTAAACTGCTGTTTGGCAAAATCAACATAAAAATGGGCGTGTTGGCATTCGGTGGTCAGGTATTTTAGCCACTCACACCAATTTACTGCTTATTTGGCTAAATCAGAACAGATGGCAGCCCTACCTAGGAAGCCTCATTATATCAATAGTTTTTCTCATGGGGAAATAATTACTAAATTATTTTTCACTAGACTAAATGTATTGTCTGAATGAGAGAGTTCAAAGATAAATAGATATGTGTTATTCCTCATTTTGGAGATAGTTGGGTATAAAGTCCTCAAATAATTAAATACATTAACAATCACATTTTAAGTAATATCGAAGTAATACTTTTTTATGAACCTTAGTTAGAGATTTTTATGGAAAAAAAGCAATTATACTTTGTAAATGATAAGGTATATTATACCATCCAGCAGTATGTTTAAAATTAAAAATAAATTTTAAGGATACTCTTGGTCAACTTTATTAAAAAATAAATTATCATTACCTGTGATCTTGGCCACACATGACATCTACAATTTTCTTATCATCAATGTTTTCAATATGATTTATATAATTACTTTTACTATAATTTTCATTTGGTATAACTTTCCTACCACATTGCCCATATGCATTATTTCCAAGCGTAAATAGTCCTTCATCAGTTAAAACAAGAATATGAGCTCTACCAGCTGCAAGCTTTGTAACTTTAGATTTTACAGGATTTTTAAATGGTAAATCAATTGGTTTTGGGAGAAAAATTACTTCTAAAGGATGATCTTTCCTTATTTCATGATAACCTATCTGAGAATCTGTGTTGATACCTGTACCATAAACTTTTTGATTGGTATCGCTTTGGACAGCAAACACTGTGAAACCAAAACCACAAGCGGCTGTGACAACCTAAAATATAAAAATAATTAAAAGGAACTTAAATTATTTACTGTTTTACTTGATGCTGTTCTCCAAACGTAAGTCTCTTTGGAAATTGTAAATGTTTTAATTTGTCAATATTTTCTTCAGATTTATGAAATGGTTTACCAAGAGCTCCTGTGCAAATATTACCCCACGAAAATACTCTTCTATAATTTTCATTACTTACACTATATTGGAATACTAAAATGTTCAATAATTAAATAATATATACTCCTGAATACCTACTTACGCACCTGGTAAGGATCTTTCATGTTCTGGGTCAATAGGATATTTCCTTTTAGGTCCACTAACAAATCTTTTGTTACATTTAGATACAGGATACAAAATTCTACTAAACTTATTCATTTCGTGTACGTACACTTTTTTAATTCAACAATTCAACATTAAAATTTGAGTCAACATTTTTCAATAAATTTCAAATTTAAAAATAAATAAGGTTATGTTTCCAAACACCAACAATGCAACGTTGTCAGAGTTTACAGAGATCAGAGATTACACTGAAAATATTGAAATGACAATGGAAGGAACATGGAACTGGTCTATTTTGATACAATACAAAAGATCGAGTTTCGAACTCCTGAATCTGAATATCGAATCGCACATCTCTAAACGGGACCTATTTTCTTTAGGACAGGACCGGCAGCACAATATAAATATAAAATCTTCATGCAAAATGCAAAGAATAATTCTTATTCCAAAAAATAGGAAATTAATTTCATATTCTGTGCTTGATTAACAATAATATATCAGTAAACGGTATTTTATGTTTATTAGTTTATCAACCGTTTCATTTTAGACATTGAGTAACGTGTTGAACAAAAGGCTGAAAATTTGCAAATTAATAATACCGTTGAATAAGGAAATAATTCTCTAGCCGGAATATCGTAGTTGTGAGTTATATGAACTCTATATGCAAGCTTATTGCAAGCCGGTCTTCGACCTGCTGCGTCAGCACAAGCTAACTTATAAATATATATGTAAAATTGTCATTCCTTATTTTTTATCAGAATAAATCGTTTGTAAAGTAAAATAATTTTTTTTAAAGTTATTTTTTCATTCACTAAACTTATCACCTTTAAAAGTTCAATAACTCAAATAATAGAGTGAGTGAAATTTTTAAGAGGGTTACCAATAACAAATCATGCACTGTATACAATTTTTGTTTAGAGCGCATGATTTGTACCGTAATATTACCGATTTCGCACGTGTTGAAACAAACCTAAATGGGTATTAAATTATCAATCTACAAATTTTTAGCCTTTTTTGTTCAATACGATACTCAAAATGGCTAAGACTATTTATTGCCTTCAATCCTAGAGTGATAAGAACGTTTAAAACAAATTGAGTATTATTGTGCATATTATTATGCCGCGTTTGAATATCCACATCGAAAGAATCTAGTTGTGAATCTTTAATCACGTGATTCAATATACGTAATGTAGTAGGACAGATGTGTCCAACATAGATGAAGAAACTCGGGAGATGTAAAAAATGCATCGGATGTGGATATTCAAACGCAACAATAGTTAGGAACTGGAATAGGTATTTTGAATAGGTTTCCAATGCTGTTTCAAAATTAACTCGTTTTGCTTTTTTCCTCGATACCGTCCTGTTTTCTCCGGTTGCTCTATACGCTAGTTCAGTGATGATGTAATTTATGGTTCCACTGACAATTAAAGTGACAGTAGATTTTTTGTGTGCGTTTTGTTCGTTTTGTTTACCTAAATTAAATCGTTTTTTCACTTTTATAAATATATTCCTAAAGTAAGTAGATAACATGTACCAAATATACAATCGTTTAGTTACCAATTACATACCTTTCAACTATTTTTTATGACCTGTAAACAATATTTAGAAATAAACTAAAAACAGTAAAAACGTATTGATGTTTTTGTTAAAAGTTTGGTTAGAATTAAATGTGAGTGGAACCAAAATGACATCACACCGAACTAGCGTATTGATATGGTTTGCTCGATGTCACGTGACCAAAAAATCTACTCGCTCTATTCGAGGAGGTACATTTAAAACGTACGAGTAGCACAAGGATGTGTATAATCCTTGTAGGTTTCTACTTAGAACAGGTACAGGTTACGGTCACACCAAGGGCCATCACCAAGTCCTGACCCAGTGTTGTCAGACAAATGAAATTAAAATTACCAGATTCTAATGTTCAAAATCACAAAATCACCAGCAGTGGGAAGGATGAAATCAACTATACTTTTATGTAGCTTCATGTTTTTTATAGCCTTAATTCCAACAATTAGGTTTTTATTGCATATTTTGCAGTTGGAAACTCTGCCCAATCCAAGTAAATTGTTTCTCCCAATCTGAATTGTAATTGGTTTTATATTTATTAAATCGAATTTTTAAGTGTTTTTAATTGGTATTGGTATTTAGAAATTGCTCAAATTTCCATCAGATTGTTTTTCATAGGGAAATTTGAAATCTCAATTTAGGATTCAAATTCGAAGACAGACGAACTAACAGATTGACAATGATATTTGATATTTTTTCTTTTTTCTTTACTGTTTTAATGAGCATAGGGTTTAAAATGTATCTTATTTTTCTCTTTTATGTTCGTTTTAAGTTCATTAGTATAAAAATAAAATAAGTCACCAAAAATACCAGATTCTAGTGATAAATCTCAAGTTCTCAAAATCACCAAAATATGGCTCTTATGACAAAAATAATCAGGTAATTTTTTTTGTAAAATCACCAGATTTTGTGATAAATCACTAGCTCTGGCAACACTGATCTCACCATGGCCTCTCCCATAAAGCACGTTTTGTGGCTTCTCCTCCCTCATTACAAAATGATCGATACTTTCCACTTTCGATACTTGTTATACAATCGATTAAATGAACTTATTTGACAGATGACGCGTCTGTCAATTAAAAAAATTGGGTTACATTCATTTAAAGATTAGAAAATAAACTTTATAAATTCGAACGGGAGATGTGTCAATAGTTATTTAGCATATTTTTCTTTATTTGTAAGAAAGTTGAAAATAATAGTAATGAACTTTTCAATGTAATATTAATAACGTCTATTGTTAAGGTAAGTTTGACTTTGGTTTTTGTTACTCGTCCTTTATAACCAAATTCCATTACAGATAACAAAGATGTTAGCCAGTACTACTACAGAATTTACTCTTCTATTAATAGATAATGACACTTGTTTAACGCCTAGAAGGTCTAATAAAACTGTAATAAGTAACGTTTATGAAGGGATACCAGAGACTATTGTGTTAAATGTTGTATCTTGGGTGATACTTATTCTTTTGTTTGCCATATTGAGAAATAGAGCCTGGGATTATGGACGACTGGCACTTGTCCACACTGAAAAGTGGACACAACTTTTTTATAAAAACACCGACGATGCTGTTGCTGTGGAGGAATCTAGCCATGAGGTGTCACTGATACCTGATACTGGTTGTTTATGGTTCCCATCGATTTTTAAAATTACCCGTGAACGAATTTATTCTAGATGTGGGCCAGATGCTTCTCATTATCTCTCATTTCAGGAACAATTATTACTGTTAATGACTGTTATTACATTGTTTTCGATATGTGTTGTGCTACCCATTAACTTTCAAGGCACATTGCAAGGTGATAAAACAACATTTGGACATACAACTATTGGAAACCTTCCCTCAGACTCCAAATGGTTATGGGTACATATAACTGGGTCTATTGCTGTTGTTCCACTGATGATATTTACAATGAGAAAATGTACTGGCCGTATACCAAGCTCTTCACACCTATCTTCAAGAACCCTAATGATTACAAATATATCTAAACAGCACAGGAATACAGAGGATGTTAAAAATTACTTCACTGTAAGATATCCTGGTATAGAAGTTAAAGACGTTAAAATGGCACATAGTGTTAAAAAATTAACACTGTTAGAACAACAAAGAGAAAGGGCACATGAAGCAAGAATGTATTGCTTGAGTAATATTCAAAGAAGTGAAATTAAAATTCAACCCAAAGGTTGCATAGCTTGTTGTCCATGTAAGACAGTAAATGCCCTTGAATATTACACTTCACAAGAAGAGAAACTTAATCATTTAGTTACAATGGAAAGACAAAGAGCCCTTCAGAGTCCATTAGGAATTTGTTTTGTTACTTTAAACTCTGAGGAAATGGCTCAGTATGTTCTCCGATCTTTTGAACCTGGATCTCATAGGAATTGGGTTATATTCAAGTCTCCATCACCATCAGATATTAATTGGGAAAACTTAGAAATATCATACAGAAACTGGTATTCTAAAGCAATTATTATTAATGCTGTACTCTTCATAATACTATTCTTTTTGACAACACCAGTAATTGTGGTAAATATTTTTAACAACCTAACTAACGCTCAAGATAATTTTATAAAAAAGATCAGCCCTCTACTATCTGAATTTCTACCTACTTTACTTCTGTTATCTATGTCTGCTGTTATGCCTGTCATGGTTGCTTACTCAGACGAATGGATGTCTCACTGGACTAAATCCAAACAAAATCATGCTACTATGTACAAAGCATTCTTTTTCTTGCTGTTTATGGTGCTCATATTACCTTCTCTAGGTTTAACCAGTGCACAAGCATTTTTAGAATGGTCAGTCCAAACAGCAAATATTACTTTGAGATGGGAGTGCATATTTTTAGCAGATAAAGGTGCTATTTTTGTGAACTATGTTATAACTTCTGCCCTTATAGGTACTGCTTTAGAACTATTAAGGTTTCCCGAGTTAGCTATGTATGCCTGGAGATTATTACTCATAAAATCTGAAGCTGAAAAAACCACTATTAGAAAGGAAATTTTATCAGTTTTTCCCTTTGGTATACACTATGCTTGGACATTGCTTATTTTTACTATTTGTACAGTTTACAGTTTAACTTGTCCTTTAATTACACCATTTGGATTGTTGTATCTTTGTTTGAAACATCTTGTAGATAAATATAATATTTATTATGTTTATAGACCCATTACTATGTCAGGTGAGGGACAAAGAATCCATGCTGATGCTGTTAAAATGGTTCGGATTGCTATTCTATTGTTACAGTTAATTACAGCTTTGTTTTTCTTTTTGAGGGCTAATCTAAACACTACAACTTGCATTGCTTTCTTAGGATTTGCAATGACTGCAATATTCTTCTTCTTTATTGGGCCTTTTCCTATATGTAGGCCTCCATTGAATGCATTTGATTTGCCCGCATCTAATGAAGAATATATAGCACCCGTTTTGATTAGTTCTAGTTCTATTGAGGCAATAGACTTAGATAGAGTATCTCCAACTTTTTACGGATCTTCAAATCCCAACTCGAACGGTATTAGATTCCCTGAAAATGGTTCCAGCGAAGCTTAAATGTTGCAAAAAAATATTTTCGAGGCTGTGACTAATTTTAGTAAATACATTTCTGAAATTTTACAGGGTTCTTGTCAAATGTCCATGTATTAAAAAAGTTGAAGCTTATCACTTTTATTTTTGCAAACAATATCAGTGTTTCTTGCATACCTGGATCGTAATTATTTTAGTATAAAAATCTAAAGATGAGGTACACATTTTTTTAATAATTAAATAATTTTCAAAGTAATTAAAGTGAGGAAGCTTCCAAAATTAACATTTTAGTTAGGTAGGTAATTACTAACACATATTGACTATAGTAATTTATTTGTTTTGTTAAAGTTTTGTGGTATTATAAAACCATTTATAGTTACAAATACGAAAAGATCTTTAAAAAAAATTAAACTAGTCTAATCAATTTTATTATCCATTGCCTACTTAATGTGTTTTAGTTATGAATTTACAGAGACAGTTTAATTAAATGATACTGGTTAAGATAAAATTCAGCTTACTGCATGTTAAGGCTGTTTGTCACAATACTAAATTAATGCCTTTTTTAAGTTCTAAAATAATTCAGGTCGCAAACAGCAAATATTAAATTTTGTTACTAAAAGAATATATTAATTATTCTACTAAAAATGTTGGGGCAAAGCTTTAAGTTGTTTGGGGATATAAGTGTTTTATAGTGGATTTATCATTTTGTTTTAAATTATTTTCTTTCATTTGTAATTATGCCCATCAATGGAAAATTGCAGGGGCCATTAACTGTTATATTTCCAATTGCAATATGATTCCAGAACAAGTGAAAACCTTTTTCCTAAAAATTTAAAAATATGACAAATTTGGAGTTTCCAGATTTTTTGAAAATAAATTATCTTCCAGTATATGAAAGGTGAATTTCAGATGATAATTTAACTAAATTTTAACAATAACAAGGAAGTTTTCTTTTTTATATTTTGAATTCCCTAGGATGCGTTATGTAGTTCTAGTGATACCTTTTAAAAATTTCGGGTTGAAGATCATAGAACATCAAAACATGTAAGTATAATTTGTAGACTCTTTTGCAATAGATTTTCTGTAAATTTATGGACTACTTGGGATTCTACGACAGTGGATTTGATATCAATTCCCCTAAATTTTTGGATTAAAAGATGTTCACTTGTGTTTTTATAAATTGTATATGATTTACACTTGATTCTTTTTTCAATATTTTTTTCATACAATTTAAATAGTAATTTTATTAATAAAACAACTAAATAATAATTTTAATGACACATATTCTTTAAAAATAAAATAAATGATCTATCTTGAATCTGCCAACTTCACAATAATAAACATACACCATATTTGTCTAATTTTACGAGAGATTACGCCATTGCATATGCATTTATACTTAATACTGAAAGTTGCTATCGTTGCAGATGGAAAAATTTAGTGACTAATATTTTAAGTTCTAAATTTAGTGTCCTGACAAACAGCCTTTAGATAACAGTTTAACTTTTCCATATTAATATTAATGCATATGATTTTGAAATTAAAAGACAGTTTGTTATCTTATGTTTAATTATGATATTAAAAATTGTCAAAAAGAGCTTTAGAATTATTATTTGTCTCTAACTCTTTTCTTTGAATTGTTTGTCAACACATTAAGAAACTAAACTTTAAATTATAAGTGAATTTTATATAACTAATTTTTTTCTGAATCATTCTGTAGATTGTTCTTAGTTTCAAAACCTCTGTAGGTATATCAACTTATACAAGCACACATAGAATGGCAATAAATCACGGATAATATATCGGTTAATTTTTTTATTTTTTTTTATAATAAAATGGCAGCTGTCTATGGCGCTTACTGGGTCGTTGAATTTCCAATTTAAGTGCCATTTTTATACTTCAGTTGTTATTTAAATTCCTAAGCGATATATAGAAAAATAATACTAACTTACTATTAACTTTGTATCTTGCTGGAGTCATATAATGTTTTTAAATACAGAGTACCTAACATAAATTTTATTCAACAAGCTCTAAAAATGTTCAACAAAATACATATTCTAGATTTGATCTCTGCAGAATTTCATCTGTTTAGGTATATAAGAGTCTATTTTAAGTAGGTTTTCGACAATTTTGAATAAAATATACCTATAAATAGAACTACAGGGGGCATCCGATACATAATATGAGAGTCGTCTCTTTTTTAAAACTATATAATTTTATGGTACCTAATGTAAATTTCTTTTAGTACGCCCCTTTGTTAAAAAATAGTCAAGCGTCGCTGATATATTAAAAATCATTTTTTTGGCTCCATTTTTAGAAATCTATACTCCCTTATGAATGGCTTTAGGACCTACCTTTATTTAAATAGGTAAATCAATACGTATTTGATAATTAAACAACAAATGGTTTATTATTAAAGCAATTAAAAATAAAACAATTTAAAGAGTTCTGTAAAACATATGAAAACCGTAAGAGATTTTTATCAGTTTTGTAAAACAGAAATTAGATATTTTTAGACTCAAACTATTTATATTTTAGTTATAAAAGTAGCAAAAAATGTAAGAGTACACAAAATAGGCTTTGTGCTTCTAAATGGTGCTTCTTTTACTATGTTATTAAGAAAGTTTATATATTTTTTTAAACGGTTTTGGAAAAATAATTTTCAATTTCTAATTTAAAGTGACTGATCTAAGTTAAAAATTTAAGAGCTCCTCAAAAAAAATCATACAATTAAACGTTTTCAAAAAATCGTGTAAAGTAGGGACATAAGTTGGACAGGCTTTTGGTAGGTGGTCAGGTGATAAACTTTGAATCCCATCGGACGATTTCGAGAACTTAGCGGTAATGTTTGTTCGCCAGTTTCATATCGTAGAATAAAAATTATATCAAAACATCTCTATTTACAATTTTTTAAACTATTTCCTCGAAATTGTTATTAGCATCTATAAAATAATTTTCTACGCCGATGTATAGCGCTCACTTCGGTCATCGTACATAAACAAGACTAGTAGAATCACTCCAGCAGAGGATGAGCAGAGGCCGCCAATAAATTCCTCTCTACTCCGTCTAAAAACTCGGCAGGTATCCTGATGCTTTGTAGCTCTGTCACTGTTCATAAGAAAGATGCCCAACGCTTATTTTCCGGGAACTCGTCGGCAAAATAATTTTCAAAGAAGATCAAAGGCTTCAGTCAGAGTGGCACAAGTACTTATTTTATGAACGATGCTTCGGTTAGCTCCGCTGCAAAACTCAGATCCTGTCTATGAAAAAGCCTTTCCAACTTGTGTCCCTTTTAAACTTTTTATCATTCAAAATCCTTCAAGTGGTTTTTAAAAACTGTTTTAATCAGTAATCACGTGATAGATTTTGCCCAAAATTTATGTGTCTATAAACACATGATTTTTGTACTTTTTGATGAATAAAAAACATTTGAATATATTTTTTAGTATTTAATTATATCTAGTGTAAACACCAAACGCATATTTAAATAGATCGTTCTAATGTAACAGCTTATTTGGTACGGTAGCAGTGTAAATTTATTGAACTAATTTTTCATATTCATATTTTTGATTTCTTGTAAATATGCGTTTGGTGAAAATCAATCATTTTTGATAGAGTTTTTGTTAGTTATATGTTTAAATTGTACAAAAATCAGTTTAACAGCAATAAAGTGATGTAATATAACTCTCATAAAAAATAAAATCTTCAACCCGATTTTTTTTTAATATTAAAATGTTTTAGGTAATTGAATAAATTGAGAGTAATTTTATATTTCAGATAGAATAAGCCCAAAAAGTATTGAAGTTATATTAGTAGTCTTGTTTAAATTTCTGCATTTTGTGATATTTTCTATCTTAATCTATAAGTTTGTATGCGTTCTTCTTGAATTATAAGTAATATTCATGGAAGGGTGACTTATTGGTATTAGAAAAAAACTGTAATAAAAATAAATATGATGAAAAATGGATTTTTCCAATAAAAAGTTTATAATCGCCTGTTTGTATGATTCATGTTAATATAAACTCGTTTTTAATATACAATGGATTGTTTATTTATTTCCTTGTCTACAATTAAAGACCTTTTTACAAAAACGACACATGTCCATGCTTTTTACAGGAAATACAAAACATACCAGTCTTTTTCGATTTTGCAGAAACGCTCCATATTTGAAAGTGAATATATCCATTTCTGTGTTGCTTTTGTAGGAAAGCACCAGAACTGGGACGAATCCTCAAAAAATAGAGAATCACGAATTCTATGTCCGAATCTTTTTTACAAAAAAAAAAAAAAGATTCGAATCCATTTTTTTGAATCACGAATATGAATCACTGTCAATATCATACAATGGTATTAAGTATGCTTCCGAATCTAATAGTGTCTACTATCAACTATAATTGTGTCTATTATGGACTATGACGTGCATAAAAGATGGTTGATACAAGATGTTGAATAATATAAACTATTTTTTTCTATGAATATGAACCATAAATAAATTAGAATCTACAAAAAATATATTTAATTTTAATACAAAAACAAAATGAAATAAAAATGTCTTTTGGTTGGCCTTACATAGCACCAAAATTTCATCTGCTAGGCTGTACTCAACCTTTTTACTTTCCTATCTGTATACAGACATAAGGAAAGTATAGGAATCATGATTTTTTCGACCTCGAGTTTTCGACGGATTTTTACGTTTTGAGGTCCCCTGAATCCGTTTTGACTATTTTCGCGATGATGTACCGATACACAGAAAAACACCAAATGTTATACTTAAGCTTTATTCCAGCGTCTAATGAACTGATTAGATTTTGGGCAGAGTCGGAACATCTGGGGGGTACTTTATAGGTGGTCATTTTTATATTTTATGGAATATATCTGTTATTTACGTTTGGAGAAGAAAATTCTTCAAATAAAAGTTACTTCTAATATAATTATCTATAATTTTTGTTCTATACAAAATTTTCCTAAAATGGTCCGTATTCGAGAAATTTGACAAAATGTAAAAAAAAATAGGTTTTTATAAAAATTATTTAAATAAAAGTTGTTTGTAATATAATTCTCTATAATTTTTATTCTATACATAATTTCTTTAAAATGGACCGTATTCGAGATATTTGAGAAAATGTGTAAATTTCGAATTCTGAAGAAAACTCAAAAACGGATAAAGAAAAAAACATTAAATTTTAAGGTTTATTTTGGCCTGACATAAAATGATTAGATTTTGGACAAAGTCGGAACATCTGGGGGGGGGGGTACTTTATGGGAGGCTGTTTTTATATTTTATGGAATATATCTGTTATTTATGTTAGGAGAAGAAAATTGTTTAAATAAAAGTTACTTCTAATATTATTATCTATAATTTTTGCTAAATGTCAAAATTTCCTGAAATGGTCCGTATTCGAGAAATTTGACAAAATGTGCAAAATTCTGATTTTTATGAAAATTGTTGGACTAAAAGTTGTTTGCGATATCGATCTCTATAATTTTTGTTTATACATGATTTTTCTAAAATGGACCATAATGGAAAAGTGCTAAATTTAAATTTTTCAGTTTTCGTTTTCAATGAATATCTATAGAAAAATGTTTCGAGGTAGATGTATGTGGACAATGTATATATTTAGTTTATCCTCTAAACATTTATAGAGATGCTGCAATAGGTTGTACAAAATAACCGGAAAAAGCCTATAAAAACTAGATAGGAAAGTCATGTGTTGGACACATCAGATTTTTTTCTTTGGGGCCACATAAATCTGTATGTTAATTATGCTACATGGGCCACAATATTTTTGGGTGATAACTAAGAGTTGCCACCTTTTTGAATTTTGAAGTGGAAATGAACAACGATAGGAATCTCCTTTAAATATTTTCTAAAAAAAGTCATTGTTTTCCTTTACATAATTTCTAAAAAAAAAGGTCAAAAACAGGCCAAACAAAGGTAAAAAGAGGCCAAGAAAATGCCAAAAAAGGTCAAGAAAATGTCAAAAAAGGTGCTCATATTGTTTTAGTTTACATAGGTACTTTCTAAAAAAAGGTCCTCATGTTGTTTTATTTATAAGCTTTAAAAAGTCGCAAGGATAGGACTGTAGGTCAACCATTTCAATCACTAATAATCGTGTTTGAGGCTGCACAAAAAAGCTTGGAGGGCCGCACAAAACAGCTTGGAGGGCCGCATGCGGCCCGCAGGTTGAGTATAGCTGAGCTAGACCGTCCTTCGTAGTGCGTCGATTATACTTGCAAACAAATATAATTGTTCGACTGCACCAGACGAAGTAAGGTGTTAAATTTAAGGTTTTTATGATGTTTGATAGTCATTGCTAATTTGTAGATTATTACGTTTATCTTTTAAATATTCACAATCGGTCTTCAGTCTGTCTGATTCAGTTTACACTTCGCGACAAGTCAAAGCTTGAGTCAAACGTTCGCGCCGGCGTAGTTCGTTCTCTAAAAGGATCCGAGACCTAGACTAATATTGGTGATTTGAATACGAATCATTTAGGATTTCCTCGGCGAATCCGGATCCTTTTTTTGTTAAGTATTCGAATACCGCTCTCGGATCCTCAAAAAGGATTCGAATCCTCCCTTGCCACAGTTAACTCAATTCAGGCATTTTTGAACATGTGTTGTTTTTGAAAAAGTCATCAATTGTTTAAAATATACAATACTGGCAAGTTCAAACATTCGGCCCTGTTTTGCTAGCATTATGGTGAAAAATAAAAATAGAGTTCGAACATGCACAAAAAAAACGATATTGTATAATGTTGCCATTCAAATAACTGATAGGCTTTGATAACCATAAAAATTATACAACAATCAGAAGGATTTCGGTCGATAGCATATTGTACTGAATATTCAGTTCAATAAACGAAAATTATTATCATCTATTAAAATTTATTCAGGAAATAAAAAAAAACAAGTTTTTATAAATAAAATACAAACGAATTTATTTACAAAATAATTTAATAAACTCTTCCTTCTACACAGAATTCAGTTCATATAAAACATGAAACAATGTTAACAATTCTCAATGGAAACTTACAAAAAGGTTTTTACAATGACGTGAACTTGGGAACAATGAAAAATGACTGTCTTAATGCTGAACAATGGAAGTACACTAAACTTTGTCTCACTTAATGTCCCTTCTTAGGTTTGGCTAATTTTTCGTATTTGCTTTTGCTGCTGTACCATAAGGCAAGAGGAATGAGTAATGAGGGGGTAGTCATAAGTGCAAAAGCCAACCAATCCCAGTAGTGGGATGAGAACTTCTTGTCGTAATCTCTGAACGCGATGATACCACCTTCACCTGGTTCACTGCTTAAAGAAACTTGCATCTGTAACAAAATTGGTTTTAAAGTTTTTGGTCGATTTAAATAAATGGTATATTTGTGTTGGCTTAAAATGTGTTAAACCGTGGTAGAAACTGAAGTTTTTTTTCTAATCATTCTAATGCCTGAGTATGTAGTTGAGCATTCTCTGTTTGATCATAATTCTCAGTGCTTATCCTAAAGCTAAATGTTTTAATACATTTTTGTGGTAAAAGTACAAGTAAAACTAGAATACATTTTTGTCAATTTGGATATTTTAAGAAAAATGGTTAATACATGCGTTTGATCACAGGCATATTCAATTCTTTTAGAAAAAGAAGGCAATGAAAACCACAGTAAGAAGATTTTGTACTGAAACTACTAAATTTAATTGTCTTTCTATTATCAACAAAAAAAATCTGGTCCTAGAAAAGAAACAACAAATCAGAAATATTAGATTAAGGATGAGGTCAAAATATCTACATATAATTCAAAGCACACATTCACTATTGCAACCTACTTTTAAGGAAAAAAGGAAATGTCAGTGTCAAGTTTTTTTCTAATCATTCTAATGCCTGAGTATGTAGTATTCCACAGTTGAGCATTCTCTGTTTGATTCTGATTCTCAGTGCTGTTCCTAAAGCTTAGCTAAATGTTTTAATACATTTTTGTGAAAAGTGTTAAAGATAATATTTCTGGCATATAAGATATCGAGTTGACCTGTCTCATTATTTACAATGATGAAGATGGTTTTATCGACTTTAAAACATTAAATCTTCAATAATTAAAAGTAATTGTATCAAATTAATATAGCAAACAAAGAGTAACAAGTTGATGCACTATGTAGTAAAATTATAAAGAGCAGCTTTGAAGTAATTGGAAATGTCCTGTCATTTTATAAATACTTTGGAAAATAGTACATTTCCAGATTATATAAAAATTAGTATGGTTAAACCTATTGAAAAAGTATTTAAAACTAACGAATGTGATGAATACTGACCAATCCATACTTTACTTTGTGCTGAAAAAATGTTAAGAGTTAGTAGTTTATCAACAGTTCTTGGAATATTTTAATAATAAAAAATACTCTTCAGTAATTAATCTGGTTTTAGATCGAACCATTCTTGTAAATCAGCACTTAGTGTCATTGAATGGAAAGACAAATAAGGCATGTACACTATAGCAGTATTCTTAGCCCTTAAACATGAGTTTGAAACTGTCAATCGTGAAATATTATTCAAAAAATTAAAAAAATGTGGCATAAGAGGCAAAGTATTTGATTGGAACAGAGATTACATTAGACAGAAAACAAGTAACCATCATATTTTAATAAACTTATGCTATACAAGTCTTATTTTGTTTAAAATGAATTTACTAAACCATTTATTACAAAATTAAGATACCAAATTATTAATTAGAATCATTTATATTTATGTGTAATTTTTATAATTATAAACAAATGCTGTAGTAATATTTTTTACTTTAATTATATATTTTTTATATTAGGATGTACCTATTTTAATAAAGCTATCTATCTAAAGTAGCATTGAAAAACACTAAAAGCCTTCTCAGACTGAGGATAATGAGCTTAATAGGCATTGACACCAATAAAAACAACTAACCATTCCAATTATAAACAGAACCTGTATGGTAATAGGTCATTCCAGGTATAGACTTTCCATCATCAAAACATTGTTGATTTCATTTTAAAAAAATTCTGTGTTGGTAAGTATATTGATAGAGTTAGGAAAAATTATATAATTGATGACCTCAAATTAGGGCAAAGACAGAGATGTTTGTAGATATCCAAATAAAATATAAAATGACTAATTATGTATCACTAGTGCAAATGTTTGTAACCAAATGCTGATTCCAAAATCTGTTATACCTATCATATCATAACCTATAACATAGGGTCTCTGATTATTAAATATTTGTTGTCAATTTTAGAACTAGGTGGACACTATTTAAAAGTAGGTAAATACATATACCTGAATACAATTAATAAATGATAGAAGATTAGTTAAAATTGCTACTTATTACTTGGTTATTGGAAGTGCACAATTAGAAAGTAGGTACAATATGTCTAACATTCAATTTGACTTTTTTGCAATTAATTACCAAAGCTAAAATTTTAAAATAAGAAAATAGTTACTTACTTTTCCTGACGTATCATCTGCAGCTTTGTAACTAGCCTCAGCACTTGTAAAGTTGAAATATCCATACCTCAGGGGCCTGACTACAACTACATGTGTTACATTGGTTTGTGGAGGAATCCTTTCGAATTTAGATTTAAGGTGGCCCCCTACGACTTCGAAGGCTTCAGGGTGAAATCCGTTATCCACGAGTTGGACATCAACAGCTGCTGAAGTGCCAACGTTGAACAGAGTGTATTTAACTTCAATATCTTTAGTTTCTACTAAATATCTATTTAAAATTTGTTTAGAGACTAGAAGCCTTGGACCCGTATCTTCCTCTGTTTCGGAATAAGCAAAGGAAAACAGTACAATAAATATGAAAAACGCTCCCCGGTTCATTCTAAAAAAAGCAAATAAATTTGGTTATAAAACACACAAATTTGAAAAACTGTATACGAAAAACCACTTAAATGATAGTATTTAATACATACTTGTTAGTTTAATTTATCACAACAGCCAAATATCATTAAATACCTCTTAACAGAAAACTCACTTCTGTCTGTTACTTCAACAAAAGTATAAAAAGACAGCAATGTATTTTTGTATGTCACGCCACGAATCGCCACGTCTCGAATCTGTCAAAAAGTTGGCCCGTTTAGTTAACATTTCATTCGTAAAAAAAACAGGCGCTAGCATCGCTTAGGCATATTTTCGCGACGAACTATAAAAACAAGTCTATTTTTTTGATGACGTCGAAACAATGATCATTTTTCATCTCTTTATTAGTTAGGTAAATAGGTATATAATTTTTTAGATTTAATATATGCAAACTTACATTTTTTGTATTGTATTCATTTTAAAGCAAACAATAATAGTTTTCTGATCAAAACTCCTATCAAACCATATATATGCAACCAGTATATCGCCATTACATTCAGCTCGTTCTCAGAATTATTTAAGAGCAAACCGGACACCTCGAAAATTAATTCTGAGCATTTATTTTTTACTCCAATTTTTGTGAAATTTTCAGGAACTACCAATAATAACAAAACTTAGGGTGGAGAAACCTTGTTTTTTGTATTTATTTTGAAAATTTTTAAAAAGAATTAAAAAAACATTTACGAGCCATTCTGTATTAAATCTATAAAAATTTACTGCTTTTTGTTTTAATATCTAGTAGTTTTTAAATGAAATGCTTTCTCACCTTTTTTTCTTGAACGTCTCTCCCACGTAGTACACGGAAGTCTAAAAGACGTCCTTCAGGGACATAAAGGACGTCCGAGGGACCTCCTCTTTTGGTACCGGGACGTTAATCAGACGTCCTAATGTCCCGTTTCCGTCCATCTTAGGGATGTCCCTGGGAAATTCCAAAAGGACGTCATAGGGACCTTTGCAGGACGTCCTAGGGACGTAAATCAGACGTCCGATATTTGACCACAATCCATGAAGGGTAATAATAACAAAAATGTTAACAATAAAAGGGCTTTATTTAACAAATTTTATCCTGAAAAAAACTAGCTAGAGTTAAAGGTTTTCAGTTCACAAAAAAAACAGGAATAAATTAAATTTAACACACAGCGAGGGTAAGATGAAACCTTGGGTCCTACTTATAACTTGTGTCGACATAACTGAGTTTTATAATTTTGTCACAATCAGTGTTGTTCCAACTTTCCGCCATTAAGGCTGCGTCTTTCACAGTGTCTAGGTACACGCTAACTTGTACGCAATATAAAAATTTATATACACGCGAAACGTCTTGACAGAGTAGGTGAGCTGTGTGCAGGTCGTTGGTGTTCACGCCGGTCGTAACTAGGTATGGATTGAAATTTTCTGCTGGCGGCGAAGCCGCCACCTTACGAGAAGTCGTTGCTTCGTCTTCTTGTTATCACGGCATTAATATTATTTGTTCATGTATGTGAAATTTGCTTCTAAGGTTTATAAAATACTACTGTGCTAGTCACGGCGTAAATGAAAACAAACAAGACGCATTCACACAAACACCCCCCACCACACCAATATGACGTTTCGCGTGTATATAATTTTTACTTTCCTATCTGTATACAGATATAAGGAAAGTATAGGAATCATGATTTTTTTCGACCTCGAGTTTTCGACGGATTTTTACGTTTTGAGGTCCCCTGAATCCGTTTTGACTATTTTCGCGATGATGTCTGTGTGTGTGTCTGTATAACGCATAACTCATGAACCGATACACAGAAAAACACCAAATTTTAAACTTAAGCTTTATTCCAGCGTCCAATGAGCTGATTAGATTTTGGGCAGAGTCGGAACATCTGGGGGGGGTACTTTATAGGTGATCATTTTTATATTTTATGGAATATATCTGTTATTTACGTTTGGAGAAGAAAATTCTTTAAATAAAAGTTACTTCTTATATAATTATCTATAATTTTTGTTCTATACAAAATTTTCCTAAAATGGTCCGTATTCGAGAAATTTGACAAAATGTAAAAAAAAATATTTTTTTATAAAAATTGTTCAAATAAAAGTTGTTTGTAATATAATTCTCTATAATTTTTATTCTATACATAATTTCTCTAAAATGGACCGTATTCGAGATATTTGAGAAAATGTGTAAATTTCGAATTTTGAAGAAAACTCAAAAACGGATAAAGAAAAAAACATTAAATTTTAAACTTAAGTTTTATTTCGGCCTGACGTGAAATGATTAGATTTTGGACATAGTCGGAACATCTGGGGGGGTACTTTATAGGAGGCCACTTTTATATTTTATGGAATATATCTGTTATTAATGTTTGGAGAAAAAAATTGTTCAAATAAAAGTTACTTCTAATATTATTATCTATAATTTTTGTTTTATATAAAAATTTCCTGAAATGGTCCGTATTCGAGAAATTTGGCAAAAATGTGCAAAATTCTGATTTTATGAAAGTTTTTGAAATAAAAGTTGTTTGCGATATCGATCTCTATAATTTTTGTTTATACATGATTTTTCTAAAATGGACCGTAATGAAAAAAATTGTAGGAAATTTAAATGTTTCAGTATTTTCGTTTTCCATGAATATCTATAGAAAAATGTTTCGAGGTAGATGTATGTGGACAATGTATATATTTAGTTTATCCTCTAAACATTTATAGAGATTCTGCAGTAGGTTGTACAAAACAACCGGAAAAAGCCTATAATAAAAAGATAATGACAAAACAAAAACTAGATAGGAAAGTCATGTGTTGGACACATCAGATTTTTTGATTTGTGTACACTTTAGCGTGTACCTAGCAACAGCGTTTTTCTTTCCGCCAGCGCTACAGCCAATACATATCACTTATTCTCACCTCGAACACAAAACACTCACTTAACTATATAACCACTTTACCACCAACATCAAAAAAAATAACAAATAACACTATATAACCTTCTTTTTTCTTCGTTAATCTAACTCACTTATATAAGTTAATTATTTAATGCCGAACATTGTAGCCGTTGCTGTTCATTTGAAAATAAATGATAGGTTAGGTTTTCTGTCCTCCTACTACTCTTGCAAAAACAAAACGTTGAATATTTCAAGTTATCGATTCAAAGACCAACAATAATGCTAGTACATAGAAAGTCCCATTAACGTCCTGGACTCGGACCGAAACCTAAACGCTTTGTCGAAATGGGACCAAAATAAGACGTCCAGAGAACGTCCTAGTGTTCACACGAATTGGAAGTCCAGTGGACGTCCTATTTAGGTCCGGGACCAAATCAGGACATCCATGGGACGTCCTGTGCTATCTGGGCTGTAGAGTGCTACCTTATCGTTGCACAAATTTAAAGCTCTCAATATTGTCAAGACACATAATATCACGAAGTATTCCCAATGGCACGCATATAAATACAATTTTATATTAGAAAATCCTTAAATCATTTTTGCTTTCGCGAGAGATCCGGATTCCTCTTAAGAGCTCGTTGGGGCAATACTGAGCATGAGCATTGAGTCGTTTTTAAATCCTGCTGTGTCGATCGTTAAACATCAGTGTTGAAGTGATTTCTTGCTCATTTAATTCAGTTTTGATTTTCTCAAATTTAATAAATTCATTATTTTTAAAATATTGATATAAAAAGTAAAATTATACAGGGTGTTAATATATTCGGCCGACAACAATCTACCCCAGAGACCTCTCGTTAATTCATCAATTTTGATATAGAAACATGGGCCCTTAAAAATGGCTTATTAGTTACCGAGATACAGGGTGTTAAACCATAAACATATAGCCGACTTCGGACATTATTTAAATGAGTGTGCACACTGTTGCTAAAGTGATTCGTATATAATTGAATTTAATGATGAATACTGTTTTGATGTATTAGAAAAGCTCCCAAAATGAAAAAAAATATCTTTTTGAAAAGACATACACAATTCTTCCAGGCAGTCATTCAACGTGCGTCATAAATAAAAGCATATATTATGAAATGACTCGAAAACACTGTTGCCTTTTTTAATCAAAACATACTCGACCCATTAAAGAACAAATTTTAACTATTTATGCTACATAAATGGGTTAAGTTTCATATTATTTATATGAATGACGCATATGCTTAATGACTGACTAGAAGAACTGTAGAACCATACAAATGCAATGAACAATATTAAAATAATTTAATTTGATATTTTAATTTTAGTCTGATATCTTTAAGGATATTTTGTTCACATAAAGCAAAACACCGCTCTTGAGAAAAGTTATGTGGCCATGGACATTAACAATTTTTATAAATATATCACGTCTTAAAATAAAAATTTTCAATTTTATTAATAAAAATAAGTCTAACAGCAATCAAATTAAATTATATGCTCAATCAATTAATACTAGTTGACACGTAAAGCGTAACTGTATTAAAATCGCCTGATGACATATTAAATAATCAGCCGCCGCCTATGAAATCGATTGGAGTGTAGCTCTATCTCTCTCGATTTTATTTTCTTGCTCTGACTGCCATCTCTTGTTAGTTCTAATCATTGGCTTTACCATATCACAATTTTTAAAATTTACAAATAAGTAGTTATAATAGCGAGATTTTTAGGTTATAACAATAAAACTACAGAGAAAACAAAAACATATAATAAATTAAAAAATCACAAATTATTTTCCATGTAATAGGTACTTGGAAAAATCACATATTTAGAATATTTTGGGCAGATCTGATAAAGAAATGCTAAAAAGAATCATATTTATTATGGACAAATTATTACAATTATAATATATATTTTAAGGCATTTTCAAATTGGTTTATTGATAAATACGCTAGATTACGTGGTGAATAAATTAATGTATTTTTTTTGAAAAAGATAATTTTAATGACTTCTATACACAGTTAAAAAAGTAGTATCAAACAAGAATCACCCTGTATATATTGTGTGCCAATGTTTACATTTAGAACAAATACTCATTTAAGGCCAGCTCATAAATAGTTGCAAGGGGATTTGCTGAATTATTTTTCATTTTGTCATTGTAGTACTGAATCAAATTATGTAGTCTTCACTCACTACTTGAAAAGAACGACCATTTAGTGAATCGGTCCATGAACAGGACAATGTAAGCGTTACCCCTTTTACTTCAGGGTAAATATCTGGATAATTTACCCCGAAGTAAAGAGGGTAACGATTACATTGTAACGACAGATTTATCAAAAGCTGTTATTGTAAGTTACGGTACTACCCTAACGGAAAATCAACAAGATTCCTGCTCAGGCGCCATTTTGTAAGGTGTTTTCTTGCCTTAACGAAAACAAATCTTACCTTTGATGCCTATATATATCCCGAAAATTATTCGGTCGTCAGTTTTGTTAATGTGATTTGCTTCATAATCTTTAGATAGTGTCAAAAGGACACAGGTAGCACCAGATAAGATACGGACTATTCCAGAAGTAATAAATGTTCTCGGCTCAAATTTATACGGTTCCGAGTCTACCACACGCTGCGCGAAGGATGCTCAATGGAGAGTCGTTTCTTTCCATTTTGTCAGTTTTTTAGCTTGAATTCAAAGGGATTTACACGTCTAATGGAAACGGTTTGTGGTGAACTCGTTGAAAATTTAGCTTATTTTGCTCACCACGTACTAAATCTAACTAATAGGTTCGTGGGAGGTTCGTTATTAAAAAAATGCTACCCAAGCTCAGCGCGACTCGGCATATTTATACGCACCTTAACACAGTCAGTAGCATCTTATTCAAAACTGGATTTTCGCGGTGCTTATTATTGAATTATTTTATTTTACGGCGGCTTCAAAACTGTTTCCCTGAAAAGCTAAGGCTGGAATATATCCGCACTTGTGATTACGAATAATATTGGCATTGAGATATAATAAAGAGGAGATGCTATGACGATGCTTAAAGTCATCAGTTTCATTCAGTCAGTCTTCAAATATAAAATTGACTTCAAATAAATCAAAGTACCACTCAAGTCGCCATTTTCATTACACCTTTCCGTCAAACCCAATAAGAAAAAATTAGCCCAGTCCCAGTGGCAAGTAGACTTAGATCAAGATGTTGCAATACACATTCCCAATAAAAATATCAGCGTGTATCAGAGAGGCTGCAGTCATGGCTTCGTATGGATAGAATTGCAAGCTCTGGTCATATATGGATGCTATATATCACCTAACGTAGACTTAGAACACTTTACTAACTACATTAATATTCTGAAAGCAGACTTAAGAAGACACACAAAAGAAGACAAAAGAGGGGAAATATTGGTAGAGTAGCTCGCACAAGACGACGTATTAGTGCATAACCAGGAAAGTGTTCTCACTTTCGTTAGAGGCTACAGCGAGTCCTACATTGACTTAACACTAAGCACAAGGAAAATAGCAAAACACTTAACTAAATGGAGGGTTTTAGAAGAAGAAAATCTAAGCTTTCATCAACATATCTGTTATGACATTGATGATAACATAAAAGAAAAAGACAGCGCCAAAAATAAGAATCGAAGATGGACGATCAAAAAAGAAAGTATGGATGACTTAATCGAAGAGGTAGGAAGAATAATTAAAGCTCAAAATGAAGTAATAGGTGTCAAAGAGCTTACAGAAATAGTAACGAAAGCGTGCAATAAAGTACTTCCTTCCAAAAAGTCCAATGGAAAAAGGTTATAGAAGATATCAACAACGATACCTGGGGTAAACTCTACCAGATAGTGATAAAGCACCTCAAAACGGCATCAGATATAATACAGACAGACGAAAAGCAACTAGAAATCGCAAAAACACTTTCCAGAACATCAGGTAAAAGAATGGAGAAAAATGCCAGCTAACAGAAACGAAGTTCCAAGCTTTACAAAATGGGAACTAATTGAGGCAAGCAATAGAATTAAAGAAAAAAAAAAAGGCTCCAGGACCGGACTCAATACCACCAGAAGTAATCAAGGCGGCTACAAAAAACTACCCTGATACGTACCTAAACGTTCTCAACGAACTGCTAAAAAAAGAATTCCCGCGCGAGTGGAAAACAGCAAAACTCGTTCTAATAGAAAAGAACAAATCCGGACAAGGTGAGAAAACTTATCGACCAATATGTCTGCACAACGTTATAGGAAAATTATTTGAACAACTAATCCTAGACAGGTTAAAAAGAGAAATAGACAGAAAAGGATCTCTGGCTATTTACCAGTATGGTTTTAGAGAAGGAAAGTCAACAATCGACGCACTAGAGGTGGTTCGAGAAACAGCAGAAGAAGCCAATCAAAAAACAGCAAGAGAAAGATGTATGATTATCTCTTTGGACATACAGAACGCATTTAACTCGGCACCGTGGGAAGGCATATTAAATGAAATACAAAGAAGAGAAATGGCTCCATATTTGTATAACATTGTGGCGAGCTATTTTGAAAATCGAACCCTACTAGTGGGGGAAAATAGAAAAATAGTGAAGTGGAGTTCTCCAAGGTTCCGTCCTGGGCCCGACCCTGTGGAACCTTTACTATGATAGAGTGTTGAGACTACCGGTTCCCCGAGGAGTTAAGCTTATTGCATACGCCGATTATCTCGGGATACTAGTAACAGACAAAAATGCCATTCGGATGGAAACAAAGGCCAACGAAGTACTAACGAAAGTGACTGAATGGATGGACAACACTACCAGGTAAGGGCAGAACACATGCCTGGTGTCTGTAATGGATTCCCACCCTACCAGAAAAAAAACCTTTCCGTCAGTCGAAGTGCGTCCATCTGTCATACCGCAAAATAGTGTTTATGTCGTCTCTACTTTATTCTACATCGACGGGCTTAACCCTTCCGTTCCGGTGTGAATCTACGAGGGGATTTTACTCACGACAAAGGGTGATGTGACATTTATTATTGAATATTACAGGATGCACGATTTTGACAAATTTGCAGCACTAATTCTCTCTCTTATGAATAAAGTGGGAGAATAGCAAAGGTATCTTCCAAGAAGACTTCTTATTTGACTAAAGTATTTAGTAGGGAAAGTATGTACCTATATGAATAATTTATTGATAGAAATACAATTTGGACACAGGAAAATCAGGTTTAGTCACTGCTAGATGTCGATCATCTCTTCACGGATAAACTGTTCTACCAAACGTTCCTCAATTATCCCCACTACTGGATAGAGATACCCAAATAACTCACCAGTCCCACAACTAATATGATCATTCCTTTATACCTAATAAAACAATGTTTACTTTATTGCTTCTTTTAACAATAAAAGATCCATCTAATTTTATTGTATTTTATTTTCTCTTCTTTCAAGTTACATTTTTTTACAGCTTTATGCATTGGCGAAGACACAATTACATATTTGGTAAAACTGATTTTCAACTATCTAGCAAGAAATTAACTAGATCGAATTTTTAGAAGAAAACCCACGAATGTCGTAAGGTTAACTGAGGACAATTCCTGTCAAACGACGAATTTTTGGGTAAAAAAACTGCAGGTTGTATTGTTACTAAAGGGATGAAGCGACTATTCTTTAAGATGACATATTTCCATTTCTATTAACAATTGTCTTAATAAAAGATACTATAATGTAAAACATACTGGAATCTTTGGATTAAATAAAGTTTTACCACCTACCAAACCGATTTTGTAAAATAGTTAAACTTCAATAGTTTATTTGTGCTCATATAAGAAAAACTCATACATTTATGAAAATATAAAACCTGAGTCGGATACGCATCTTCATTCACATGTCCCTTTCATACTTTGGTTCAAATATACTATAGCCTACATTTTAATAGAAAAACAATATTTCTTAAGTCATACATAGTTTTGCTATTTCTGGAGAAAAATAAACTTCATACTAAAACAAATGTTTTTTAACATATATGCAAAAGAAACCAACTAAACTTTCAATAAATTAAAACAGCACAACATATTTTTTAAAACAAATGTAGGTAATTCGACTACTTACATTTTCACAGTCTAGGGGGAGAATTTAATAGATTTTACATAAAAAACAATTAAACTAAAAAAATTATCTTAATTGGTACTAAATGCTTTCATTACTTGATCGGATACCTGCTTTTCTATATCAGCTTTGGGTAAAATTCCAGAATTTAGTGTATATTCTGAAACTGTAATATAAACAGCTACGCAGGAACCTACAATGGCAGCCACATAGGTACTTTTATTGAATATAATACAAGTTGCTATGCATAAACCCAAATAGGTTAAATATCTTGATAATGATGCAAAGGTTTTACGATTTTCTTCCGACGAATCTAAAAAAAAATCAAGCCGTTCAATAATAAATATGTTCAAAATTCAATAATAAAATTCCATGTAATGTTTTTTAATTTTGATAATATTAAATAGTGTTTTGATTATAAGTTATATGTATGTAACTATATATTTAAAGCAATAAGAGAAGTTATTAAAAGAATAAAAGTTTTACCAATGCAAAAATTATCCTTTTTGACATATCCATTGGCACAATTGATACACATATCAGGACCGTCGCCAGTACAGCCTGCACAAGACCTATCACAGTCAAGGCATTGATAACTTCCATCAGTGTTAATACAGAATTGTAATGGTGAACACATACTTTTTGAAACTACACATTCATTTACATCCAGACAACCTTTTTCTTCATCTTTAAACCAACCAGGTTTACATTGTGTACATCCTGAAAAAACAATTTTTAAACCACACATATCAGTATTAATTAATTTTGCTTGTAGATTAGATAAAAAAATATTTTATAAAGCTACTGAATTTCATGGTAGTAAAAGTAGAATAAATCTACAGTACAGCATTCCCGATCTTCTTCGATGGTACCTACTGAGGAAACACCGTATCTATATCATATTATTACTTTTGCTTGAAGATATTCAACATATATATTTATAAAATTTATTGATACTTCTTGCATGTGCAAAGTAAATTATAATTACATGTGTGGAAGTATAAGTAAATTTAATGTCAATCTGAATTTTTTAAATCCCCTATCCATATTATTACTTTTGCTTGAAGATATTTCAACACATATATTTATATAATTTAATCAATTTTTTGATATTCCTTGCATGTACAAAGTAAATTATAATTACATGCATGGGATTATAAGTAAATTTCATGTCAATCTGAATTTTTTTAAATCCATATCTGTTATCACTTTTGCTTGAAGTTACTAAAGATATATATTTATATAATTTATTCAATTTATTGATACTTCTTGCATGTGCAAAGTAAATTATAATTACATGCATGGAAGTATAAGTAAATTTAATGTCAATCTGAATTTTTTTAAACCCGTATCTATGTTATCACTTTTGCTTGAAGATACTCAACATATATGTTTATATAATTTAATAAATTTATTGATACTTCTCGCATGTGCAATGTAAATTATAATTACATACCTGGAAGTATAAGTAAATTTAATGTCAATCTGAATTTTTTAAACCCCCTATCCGTGTTATTACATTTGCTTGAAGATCCTCAACACATATGTTTATATAATTTAATCAATTTATTGATACTTCTCGCATGTGCAAAGTAAATTATAGTTACATGCATGGAAGTATAAGTTACCATCAGAGGCGTACAACAGGGGCAAGTGACTGGTTAATCCTTCCCAAATTCTACGGCACTGGCGGAATTGCAATTTTTTCACAATTTTTCGATTCTCCAATACTTTTTAAGTAAATGTCATACTCTTTCTTCATAGCGATAAAGTTATTATTTTTCGAGATAATTTAAGTTAAACATGAGCTGCACAATAATTTTGTTTTACATTAATTGAGTCAACTTTAAATTATTATTGTAAACGCTTTATATTGCCGAGTGGCACAATTTTTTGTATTTTTGTTTCTTTTAATAGAACCAGTAATTAAATCATACAGTCCATTTATTTCACGGAGAGTAATTAGCCACGTTAACATGGATTACACAATTAAAAACAAATAATCTAAATAAAGGAACTCGACGCCCAACGTCCTACGTCTCGAACGCTGTCACATTCCTCACCATCTAAGTATTTCCTACCGTAGACTTATTTCGACGCTCAACGTCCCACGCCTTATTTCCAACGTTCTGCCGTCCTTAAATATTTCCTTCATGTCACGTCCAGCAGCACCTACATAATTCTACCATATATCTGTCCCAATACAGTACCGTATTAAATACCTTCCTTTCCACCACAACGCTCAACGCTGCGACGTACCTAAATCGACGCCGTCACAACGCTAGCTGAAATTAGTACATAATCTAATGTCTGTATTTTCAATGGTGAGTCAAAAGATTTATGTAACTTTCTTTGAGATACCACCGGGGTTTCGTTTAGACGACAGCTGTTGACATTTGCTACAAAATATCAATTTAACCAATAAACCACATGGCCTTCAAGTCATACACCCCGAAGACAGTTAGGATAGACATCTGTTTTCGACCGGTGAAATGTTGAGTATTTTAATACAAATTATAAAAATCAATATTAAGAAATACACAGGGTTGTATTAAGTTATTACAATAGAAATTATAATAATCAATATAAAAAATGTACATGGTTGTATTAAGTTAATTCAAGAGAAATGATAAAAATCAATATTTTAGAAATATACAGGGATGTGCTATCTTGGATAAATTGTACAAACCAAGATGGTAAAGTTTAATAGTAAGTTAACCAACTAGCGAATACGCTGTTCGTTAGCTCAAGGGGGGACACCTATACGCTAAGCAACCCGTTCTACTAGGTTTGAAACAAAGTATATGTGAAATCAACATAGTAAGGTAATTAACTGGCGAATTGGCGCTGTTCGTTACTTCCGTTGGTCATCACCTCTATACTCATCGAAATATTTACCTAAGAGGGTGCAACTTGTGTATATCTAGAATATAATCAAATTAATATCAACTCAATAGTTAACCAACTGGCGAATTGGCGCTGTTCGTTAACTTCATTGGTCATCAACTTAGATAAGAATATAAACAACACAACAGTTAACCAACTGGCGAATTGGCGCTGTTCGTTAACTCCGTTGGTCATCAACCTAAATTATTTATTTATGTAGTAGTTTACATTTATATTTAACAGTAATATAATTAATTATCTATAGGAACAAGAGAAAATAAGTCACTCTATTACTTAACTACTTAATTCCTAAATTGAGGTCACCATCTAAATAATATTTAAAATGAAAACTTCTACTCTAGTGCACGATTGTACTTAAAGTACTGTGTGTGCACTCTTTTTCTTATACATGTATCTTTGAGGTTTTACCATTTTGACTTTTTTTAAAAAAAATAACAAAAAATATATTCTTATTTAAGCTAAGTATAACAGATTTTTGTACTAAAATAGTAGAAATGTGGTAACAGTAATTCGATAAGAGATAGTAAAATAAAATAAGAATGTATACATCAACACAGTAGTTAATCAACTGGCGAATTGACGCTGTTTGTTAAATCCGATGGGCATCAACCTAAATAAAATATATATTGAAAGCAAATGAATATGGTCTACGTTTGAACGGGACTCAAGTGAGACCTTTATCACAAAGTGGGTATATAAATTATCAATTAATTAACTAGACGATCACTTTTACTACTAGAGGAAAAAAGGCCAATTACAGTAAGTATAGAATTTAAAGTAAAACTTGTGAGGTAAATAATAACATTTCAGTGAGAGTAAAATAACAAACGAACAAAAAAGAATAAATAGAGGGGACCGGGGGTGGGCCGTCACAGACCCCAGGAATAGAAATCTAAGGGATTACAATCGGGACTGTAAGGCGGCCACGTAAATTCACTACCTCTGCCAATCCAACGATGAGGAAATTGATAATCGAGATAGTTCGGCACTATTAAAGGATAATGAGGTGGTGCTCCATCCTGCATGAACCACATGTCTCTTCTTCTATCAATCGACAATTCCTCTAGATAATCAAAGTGTAGTTTGTAAAAACTGTAAATACGAGTTACCATTCAAATTTTCTGGTAATTTATAAGGACCCAACAAACTATCTCCAAATATACCACACCATACATTTATCTTAAATTCGTGTTGAAAATGTGATTCTCGGAATAGATATAGATGGGGATTTTCAATATCCCAATTATGACCGTTTCTCCAGTTAAAAACTCCTCTACGTGTAAATGTGGCCTCGTAATTAAAAAAGATTTTTTTTTTAATAAAATTACGATTTTCATTTTTCTTTATTTATCATCCATCCAATGAGCAAAATTCATTCGTAAAGGATAATCTCTAGGCAATAAATTCTGTACCGGTGTAAAGTGGTAAGGTCGTAAATGTTCTTTTTCCAGTATTCGAAAAACTGATGACTGGCTTACTCCAGTCATTGCTGCTAAATGAAGAGTATTTAGTTCAGGATTATCAGCAACTCTCACTAAAATATCATCCTCCTGATCCATAGTTAATATTTTCGGTCGTTCCATACCACTGTTATGCCTAAATTGTCCAGTCTGGCGATTGGGATGAACTCTGTTTGGATAGATTTCTTGATATCTTCGAGCAGCAGCAAGAGGGGAATAATTTTCGTTTACATAAACACAGAGCATGTCTCGCATTTCAAGATTAGTAAAATTGTTGGGCAGCGGCATTTTCATTTAATTGATTTTTTAAATTTTACAACAATCACAATCTTAAGTGTCAGTAACAATTAACAGCAATGGTAGCATCCTACTAGATCGAAACAATTAAGTCAGACCAAAGCCAACTACACAAAACCTAAGCTTATTTTGAATATGTCGTACTATGAAAACATGTATCCCGCCAAATATGACAATATTACGTTAAATAGTTTTACAGTACTGGGTTCAAATATTTTTTAAATAAAACACTGTGTAACTCAAACAGGAGACACATTTTTGTTAATACGAATTAAAGTTTCATTTGCGTAATAAATGCAATTCAATGTCCCAAAACACCGACATAATTCTTAATACACATTAAAATCAAAATAATTGTACAGATTCATGTTTAACTTAAAATATCTCGAAAAATAATAACTTTATCGCTATGAAGAAAGGGTACAATATTTACGTAGGAAGTATTGGAGAATCAATTATTGTGATAAAATTGCAATTCCGCCAGTGGCGTAGAATTTGGGAACGATTAACCAGTCACTTGCCCCTGTCATACGCCTCTGATAGTAGCCAGTAACGTTTATTTAACATAATTTAGTGGGGCGTATAGTATCTACACTAGGGTGTTTCATTTTTGAGCAACTTTTTTTTTAACTAAAAAACAGGCTTAAAACTTTCAGGAAGGTGAAAAAAGAAGCCTCTAAAAATTTGAGCTCTTACAATTATCATTTAGTGGTGCCTGTTCTTAACTTTCCATTTTCCATCTAAATAACATGGAAAAAAAAATTTATTTTTTTTTATTTTTGTAGTTTGATATTTGAGCATTGTAAAAATAAAGTGAAACATTATTTTGGTAGGAAATTGAACGCTCTACAAAAAGTTCTAATATATTTTTTTCATAGAGTGAGCCGTTCTGAAGATATTCAAACTTAAAGTTGCAAATGTATGAAATTAGGACTTTTATTTTATTAAACTGATGACTTTTATGTCTTAAAAATTATTTTCAAGAAAACATCATTATTTTCATATAGAAATAAAATAACGACGCACAGAAGACAAAAATTCACCAGAAATATTTTTAAACAAAAATATGAGTGACTTTGTTTCAAAACAATCATTGAAACTTTTTGACAAATTTGATTTGCCGTACGACTTTCTGGATGCAGATGTCCTAATTTGGCCAGATAATGAAAATTATCAAGAGAATTTGGAGTTTTTCGAAAAATTTAAAGTTGTCAATGACGTTGCAGGACATGGCATCGCATTAGTGGAAGGATATAATAGATGCCTAACTAAAGATGAGGAACAATTTTAATATGTATTACAAGTGGTAAAGGAGCACCGACGAAAATATCCAAATTGTAATAAAAAACTTCAACAAATATAGTTACATCATTTAATTCTAAAAAGACATTAAAATATCTATTAGTTTCAAAATTGTAGTATTCTAATTGTTAAAAAGTTTTTTTTAATCTATAAAATAATAATGTTTTCTGAACCTAATTTATAATTACTTTCGTTTAACAGTTAATCAAATAATATCTAAGATGTAATTTTTTTATTTTAGCTTTCTAAAAATATTACCGCACAAAAACCAGTTTTCTGATTAAAAACAATTTTTAAGACATAAAAAAGTCATCAGTATTAGTTTAATAAAATAAAAGTCCTAATTTCACACATTTGCAACTTTAAGTTTGAATATCTTCAGAATGGCTCACTTATGAAAAAAATAAATTAGAACTTTTTTGTAGAGCATTCAATTTCCTACCAAAATCATATTTCACTTTATTTTTAAAATGCTCAAATGTCAAGTTACAAAAATAAGAAAAAAGAAAAATGTTTCCATTATATTTAGATGGAAAATGGAAAGTTAGGAACAGGCACCACTAAATGATAATATTAAGAGCTCAAATTTTTAGAGGCTTCTTTTTTCACCTTCCTGAAAGTTTTAAGCCTGTTTTTAGTTGAAAAAAAAAAAAAAAAAGTTGCTCAAAAATGAAACACCCTAATCTACACTTCACACTAAAATATGACAATAATACGACTAATAGTTTTAAAGTACTGGACAGAAATATTTTTTAAATTTTTAAACAAAACACCCTGTAACTCAGAATGGAGACACATTTTATATAGGTGATTTGGGTTAAATCCTAATAATTTGAGCACAGGATTCTACAGTTGAAATATTTCCAATTAGTAATGAATCACCCTGTATAATTTAAACAATTTATTGATACTTCTTGCACGTGCAAAGTAAATTATAATTACATGCATGGAAGTATAAGTAAATTTAATGTCAATCTGAATTTTTTAAACCCCTTATCTGTGTTATTACTTTTGCTTCAAGATATTCAACACACATATTTATATTATTTAATCCATAGAAAAATAAAAAGAGGTTTGAATAAATGGCGGGACTTGTTTCCTTATTGGTAGTTGAACCGTAAGCGCTTAGCGCGCTGCTATCACTAAATTCAAACCCATTTACACCCATAAAAAAATATGTTTTCAAAAATAATGACCAATAAATCAATAATTTTACTGATTTGCCCCTTTAAATTTCACTTTAATATGTGTGGGGATAATCGTTAATAAATGTAAAGTTAAAGCTAAATTTAAATATTATGAGATGGTGTAAATCTGGCTATAAAAATGTTCAAAAACTAATATGATATTTAGGTCAACTTGTTAATTTTTGCATAGTTCACCTATTAAGATCATAAATCAGATGTTTTCTATTTTTATTGATTTTTTTATACCTTTTATTATAAGAAAAATGTAAGAATTTAAAAAAGTTATGACTCGTGTTAATTTTTAATTTTAAGATACACACTACACCTTTATTTTTGTTTTGTTTTAGATATTCCTGGGTATGGAGATTTTTGGAATGTGCATAAATGTCTTTCTTAATTAGGGTGAGTTTCAAAGCCAACCTGTATCGAAGCTGGAGGCTTATTGTACCCGAAATAGGCATTACAACTACTCTAGATTGAAATAGATGGGAAAAGGCCTTAAAGGGACAATAAGTATAAGAATATTTGAAGAATTAGAATGATTTGTCCTTAGATTAATAAGTAAGTATTAGGGATATTTAAAACATTAAAACAATTGTGTTTATAAATTAACTACTTTGACTTTTTATAAAAACTACATCCTGTTTTTTTAATAACAAAAACATTGTCATGTGCTATGCTGGTTATCATATATTTTTATTTTTCAGTAATTTAGTGTGTGATATACTGCTTGTTATGTTCAGAATATAAATTAAACTTCTTAAAAATTTGTTTTATTTTTCAACTAATTTTATTTTTCATTTAAAACAAGTGACATTTTCCATTTTTCAACATTTACCTACAACAAAAATTCACTAAACTTATTGTTTGTTTAGTATTTGTAAGTAAAAGTTGTCAAATAGGAAAATGTTACTTTCAAATGTCTAAATTATCAAGCCCGCCAATTTTTAAATCGCTTTACTTAGTAGTGTTCTACTTTATCGACTGAAACTGACAGGTTTTACTCCCCTCCCCTACGTCTGTTTAACCAATACAAGTTATATAGGGAAAGTACCAAGTATGACACATGATTGAAAGGGTAATTTTATGAAGAATTCAGCAATATGATTGTTCATTGTACTTTTGATTTGAATTTGATTTTATTATGGCAGTAGCAATATTAGTTGCCTATATTGTGACTTCAGAGCTTAGTCTAAATGTGATATGACTAATCACAATCAAATATGCATATAAATGGTAATAGCAATAGTATATAATATTAAAACTGTTGCTTCTACTAGATATAATTTCATATAACTTAGTCAAGTTTTTTAGAGATGACAGTCATAGTCAAGGGTTAAGAAGTTGTTTTGAATTAAGCTGTGTTAAGTAGATTACCTGCAGGACCAGCTTTTGTACATCCTTCCAGGCAAGCTTCATGGCAAGCAGAACAAAGCAATGTCTTTTCATCCTTGTATGATTCGTAGTGATTCTTAGAACAACTATCACAATAATCACCAGTATATCCCTTATCACAATGACATTTACCATTTCCTTTCCTTGTGCCTGCACCTTTACATTTACCATTATTGTTACAAACTTTATCAGGGAATCCAGGACATGGTCTGCAATCTTTTCCATAGTGAAAATCTGGACAGCAAACATTGTAGGTATCTACACATAAATATTGGTAAAGATCTGGGTGAGAATTTTGTTTTTTGAACCACCATTCTTCTAGAGTTTCTTCATATTCTTCTAAGAGATTATAGCATGACTCCTTGCCATCTTGTACTTCTGAACACAACTTTTCATGGATCTCTACAAAACGTACTTCACTGGTTTGATAACTGCCCAATTTTTCTTCTTCCCAGGCTGTATCTCCTCCTTCAAATTTAAATTTTGATGTACGTTCTAGCCCCTTTAAAGTAAAGGACAATGGGTACCAAGGTATTAAAAATCTAGTTTATAGTCATTCAGACTGTGAAACCTTAAATTGAATTCTAATAACACATTTAGATACATAAAATGTTTTCAGATATAAGGTTTTGCAGTCTGAGTTGCCATATGTGATACTTACCTTTTTAAAAGATTCTACAAAAACTTTGCAGGTCCTACAGGGAGGCAGTTTTTCAATATTTTTTGGAGGTTCCAAATTTCCAATTGCAAGTATTTCTCCCAAAATAACTAATAGAACTATTAAATAACAATTGCTGCAGTCTTGCATTTCTAGAAGATGAATAGATATTACTTAACACACTATAACAGGGTTTTTCTAAATGACATGGCAGTGTTGAAACAGTTTATTCCTTGCCCTATTTTATGACCAAAAATTACATATAAACATGAGCTCTAAATTTTTTTCTTTAAGAAAAAGGTGTTTTTATCATCCTGTTTCTTAAAGAAGGAAATTTAGAGTATATATGTCTATATGAAATGTTAATCATAACAAGGAATTATCTCCTTCAATATTGACATGACATTTAAACACCCTGTATACATTTTAAACTTACCTGTGCTATACACACGTGTCCAGCGAACCAACTAAATGAAAATGATAGGGAATTAAGGTAGCATTTTGTTCATTTTATTTGAATTTGATAAGAAAATCCCGAAACCACAAATCACCTTTAACCACGTTATCCATTAATGACAAATGACATTAATGACATATTTGTTTTGTCTTCTTGTTCTTCTTTAGGTTTATATTGGCCTTAACCATTAGTCTAATAGAGTCATTTATTTTAAATTACAGGTGATTTCGGTAATTCTGGCTCCCATGTTATAGTCTCAGAACTTACACAATCAACGGAATATACTTATATACCTACTGTGCTGTCATCTTCAAATATTAATTTACAAATTCCTATTAAAAAATGTTGCCATCTGCATTGGGATTTAAGAATCCCTGTGTAGTTAATGCTAAAAATATATGATAGAAAACTTTATCACGTAAAAAATTAGTTCAGGTTTTAATTGAAAGATGGCGAGCTCTACATGTTTGCGTTTTGTGAATTTCATTCAGGAACGGTTTATAGAATTTATTGACCCAATTTATATTATTTTTCCACTATATGATCATGGACATACACCCATTCACAAAGAATAAGAAATAACATTTCTCCCTTATATGTATTAGTTATTGGTTCATTACTGGTTGCAGGTTAGAGCAATATAATTTTTTGGTTTGGTCCTTTCATCTAAAACAAGGAAGTGATTCCTTTGTAACAATTATTTGTTCTATTGTCCTTGGTCTTTCTTCCTCAAGCCTACGGAATCTACGCAGTGATACAATACTGTAGTTTGGTCCTCGTCCTGACAGAACTCGACAAAATGTGTATTTAAATATTGGTGGAGGAACAACGGAGCAGTCCACAAAGCACGTATCTTCTAGAGACCCCACGCCAATGTTAAACTTTTAAACCAAATTAGCGCCACCTTGTGTTTGGAGCTGGAACTAAAATGACAATTGACAGATGGCGGTAAATTCAAATTGTAATTTTTAGGAGTAGGTAGTAGTTTTAAATTAAATTTTAAATGATTTCCACATAAATTATTTTATAAAATAAAGAATGGAACTAGTAAGTTCGAAACTTTTATTTTACAAAATAATTTAGGTCGATTATACCAAATTTGAGGAATTAATTTGTTATAAGCAGGGGTCTGATGTGGAGAGTTGGTTCTGCATATTATTATTAAATAAATATAAGATATATCAATAAATAATCAAATAGAACATTCTTAAAATATGTTTATTAATAACGTAAATAAATATTATTAGATAAAAATAAATACAAATAATAATACATATTTAACGAATACTTACTCTCAAATCTTTAAAATACCTATCAATAATTTAAATGTGAAGTAGAGACTAGGATATTACATTTTATTAACACTAAAATAATATATTTTATAAATGTCTTTTAAACCGAGGACAAATGTAATATAGGTATTGTATTAAAAGGTGAATCATTTTAACTATTCATTCAATGATAAATAGGTATTTTCCTTCCAAATACAGATGGTGGTATTACTCCACTGCTTTGTGTATTACTCTCTTATGTGAAAAATGATTTCGGAATCTAGTCCAGTGATAAATTGATTATCAATTAGTTGTTATACCCGTTTGTCTTTTTATGATGCAGATGCATGGTGAATCAATAAGTTTTTCTCGAAGTTTTCAACGTAGCACCCACAGGTAGCACCAAAATTATTGCAAAACACAGTAGCAAATAGAAAAGCAAAACATCACAATTTTGCAAATAACTAAGACGAAACTATAAACAGAAACCAAAAGCCAAAGCCAACAAAAAATCACTAAAATCAGACGGAAAAATGAGATTAACCAAAAACATAAATAAATACACGTCACATCTTTGGAGTCTTTGGTTAAGTTTTTCTCCCATAACGCTTAAAAATGGAGTAAGAAATCAGAATTTTACCAGTAGCCCCATCTAGAGTTTGGAGCAAATAGCATAAAAAATGTCAGTTGTCGGTTTTGACCTTGGTCATTCACGTGGAACCTCTATGTGCTTTGTGGAGCAGTCAGTCGTATCCAAACAGTTGTGAAGATAAATAGTGAACAATTTAAAGGCATTCGAAATATATATAAATTAGAATAGTATTGTTTTAAAATAAATAAGTGTTGAAATAAATTATTAACAAATAAACTGTTGTTTAAAATAAACTATCGTAACAATATTTATATTATTTCTTAGGAATATCACTGATCCACTGATGTTAATTGTATATAAAATATACCGATGATCTAAAATTGTTTGACCAGTTCTCACAGGACCAACTGCGAATGCTTTCAAGCTAATATTGATAGAGTTTATTATTGGCGTCTGAGAAATAATTTTTCCTACGACCACTTAGGAAAGTGACACATATCACACTATATAGTCCTATGGAAAGTGTCCTATATCACACGGGTATGACTAAGAATTTACTTTCCACCCAAGTGAGAATATGTTACTTTCCGCAGTAGTTGTCAAAAAATGTCAAACGCCTAATTTCTATTTTGATCTATGTAATGTCCATATTAATACTAAAATCGATATGATTGTTAAATTATTGAAATTGTTTTAAATTAGATCCTAGATATTTATCTTTAACAATTATTATTAAAATAATTTTAAAATAACTAAGATTATGTTTGCTCTTTAATTTGGGTAAATACATAACCGATTAGATCATTCAATTGACGTAAGGCCCATTAGCTCAGTTGGTTTAGACGTCGAACTTATCAACTTTGCCATTTTTTGACCGCGTTCAATCTATGGTTCAAATCCTGGCGGAGCCGAATTTTTTTTTTGTTTTTTTTTTATTTTTTATTAGTTTTTTTTGTTTAGAAAATATGAAAATTGAATAAATACGATTATTGTTGATTATTTTTTTAAATACATTTTAATTAATATAGTAATAATAACCTTGGTTTTACATTTTTTTGATATTATTTTGTAAGCTAATTTCTATTTTGATCTATGTAATATCCATATTAATACTAAAATCGATATGATTGTTAAATTATTGAAATTGTTGTAAATTAGATCCTAGATATTTATCTTTAACAATTATTATTAAAATAATTTTAAAATAATGTTTGCTCTTTATTTTGGTTAAATACATAACCGATTAGATCATTCAATTGACACAAGGGCTGTTAGCTCAGCTAGTTAGGACGTCGAACTTATCAATTTTGCCATTTTTCGACCGCGTTCAATCTATGGTTCAAATCCTGTCGGGGCAGAATTTTTTTTTTGTTTTTTTTTTATTTTTTTTTATTTTTTTTTTATTTTTTTTAGTTTTTTTTTGTTTAGAAAATATGAAAATTGAATAAATACGATTATTGTTGATTATTTTTTTAAATACATTTTAATTATTATAGTAATAATAACCTTGGTTTTACATTTTTTTGATGACATTATTTTGTGGTCGTAGGAAAAATATTGTACATCACTTGTGTGAAAAGTGATTTTCCACACTCGTAATGTAATATACTATATTACTCATTGTCGCGAAATGTTTTGTCCTCTCATTTGGTCTTTACTTTAATCCTATATTTGATTATATCAATACAATTCTCAAAGACCAACTACTATTACCTACAGATTTAGGTGTTACATTCGATAAGGGATAATTATCTTTTGGTCCGCATATTAATACCATTGTCTCTGCTGCTCTGCTTCTCGTCTTTATGGCTTTATTGTACGAGCTAGTTGACACTTAACTAATCCGTCTACCCTTTACTAAGCATTTGTAAGATCAAAATTTGAGTATGCACCTATAGTTTGAAATTCAGTCTATCAACTTCATATTAACAATTTAGAAGTCCAAAGGCGATTTTTAAAACTGTTAAGTTTCAAAATCGATGGTGTCTGCCTTGCGGTCGGAAGACGAGTGTCTTCCATAGCATACTTATACACATGCATGCTTATTTTCGAATGGCTCCAGCTTACCGAGTTTTGGTCACACCACAATACCAATAATGACATTTATAAGCATATGGACATTATTGCAAAGGATGACGACTGTTGTTGTTTTTAGATGACTTTTTGTAAGTGTTGATTCCACTTTAGCTCATGGTCAAATATGATTCTTAAGCATTTTGCCTTGTGGGCAAATTAAATCTCCACTCCTTTCAACACCGGTGACTTTAGCCTTGTCAGAACTTACTATTTTGCGAAGTTGTGATCTTGCGTAGGGTTTACTGATCCTTCCTGCACCATCAGTTTTTTAAAACCCTACTATAGCAGATTTACTCTTTGTCAGAGTTAGTCGGGCTCGGTTACAAAAATATGGCTAGTTATATTTCCTAGTTGTGTTTGCCGGGACCTGTATGGCTGGTTTGTTTCCTGTTAACAATCGTATGCGTTTTGCTATTTCCACCCAAATATTTAGGTATATGTATTATTAAGCATATATTGTACTTTACTTTACCGAATGTAGTAGTGTGCAGAATCCAGTAGGTTCTGAAGGTCTGTTGGCACTTAGGGTCCTGAAATTCTTGCAGGTTAGGTTGGATGAACTTCTTATAGGACGAAATAGCGGTCGACGATTTTGTGTATTTTTTCCTGGGCTCGTCTGACTTAGCCTTAGCTTATTGTATATATGACCCATATTAATTAATAGTCATAAGTCCTGTTATTGTTTTTAATTAGTTCTTATTCATGGAGCGTAGTTCTCCATGCATATATTTCTAGTAGACGAATGTGAACACGTTAACACGTTTTCACTGTACATCCAGGGCTGCCGAGAGCCATGGGGAGCCCCGGGGAAAAACACTGGCAAGAGTCCGCCCCATCACAAAATAAAATCTATATTTTACAAACTGCCGGTCCCCCTGGGTCCAGGCCTCGTGGATTTTGCCCCCCTACCCCTCCCTCTCGTCGGGCCTCTATATCCATGACGTCCCAATCTCCCCAACACTCAGCCTTGCACACCCAACTATACCCAAATGACACCGCTCTTTCACTACTGTTCCTACATCTCAAACCCTGATAACTGGAACCTAAAATCTACTGCATATTTGTCAGCATGCTATCTCCAATATCCGTAGTCAAATCTCATTATAGGTGGATAGAAGTTCACTATCTGTAGATTAGTAGATTTAAAAAGAAAGTTCCGTTACCTTCCGTT